CCAGGTCGCTGATTCTTTCTTCTGCCCGGTTGGATCCACTTTTGAAGCTTTAACTGAATTCTTCAGTGTGGTGATTGTATTTTTCCAGCTCTAGGATTTCTGTTTGGGTTTGATGGTTTATGTTTCTTTGTTGAACTTCTCATTTTGTTCATGAATTGTTTTCCTAGTTTTATTTAGTTGTCTGGGTATTCTTATAGACTATTAAACTCCTTCAAAGGATTCTTCTGAATTCTTTGACAGTGCATAGATCTCTATTTCTGTAGGGTAAGTTATTAAGCTTTATTAGTTTCCTTTAGTGGTATCACATTGTCTGACTTTTCATGATCCTTGATTCCTTATGTTGGTATCTGCATTTGAGTAAGTGGTCTCTTCTTCCAGACTTTGCAGGTTTGCTTTGGCAGAGACAGTATTTCACGAGTCAGCTCAGTTTGGGCTTCTGGACAGGTCTGCTGGTAGTGACTTCGGCATGTGAAAGAAGTCTCCTCTTAGGGTCTGTTTTTGGACAAGGCAACTCTTTAAGCTCTGAGGCCAAAGGTGGTACATACACCACTGGCTGAAAACAGCTAGATAGGACTGCCGGTTTGTTCCCGTGTCCAAGTGAGGCTGTAGGATGAGCTCCACGGTTGCCTGAATTCTCTAATCAGGCTTACTAGAACTGGGTACTATACTTAGCAGTAGGTGAGACTATGAATTAGCTTTCCTGCCCTGGCTGGACAGCAAGACGGAACCCAGGGTCTGCATGGCTCACGGTTTGGGGACTCAAATCAGGCGAGAGTGTGCACTGAATATTCTGATCAGATGAAGCCACCAATTTTGCTCTGCAGATAGGGAAAGCCATAGGCTCTGCTTTCTGTTCAAGTGCCACTGTAAACAGTGGGTGGACTATGCAGCTTCCTCTGTGTTTTGGTAAGGCTCCTTGGTCAGGTGGGCTGATGGCTGTATTCAGCTATAAGTGGGACTATGAATTAGTTTCTCTGTTGAGGTGCAGTGGGAGAAGCAGCTCCAGGGCCATGAAGGCTCTTGGTGGTCTTGGGTCAAGCTGACCCATGCCCCAACTTCCCCCATCAAACAGGGCCCCTGGCTTTACTCTAGGGGTGGTCAGTTCTACGGTTGCCTCTTGGCTCAAGTGATGCTGGGTTAGCCAAGGACCATGCTCCATAACAAGTGGGGCCATGATTGGGATGTCCAGCCTCAGTGGGACTTGGAGTGCCCCCTTCCGGCAACTCTCAAATCTTCCCAAACTGGCTTTCTGGTCAGGAGGGACTGGGAGCCACACTCCACAGTTGGTGGGGCTACGACCCAGCTCTTCTGCCTGGGTGCGGGCAGAGCAGGCTACAGAGCCTACAAACTCATTTGAGGACCCGGATCAGGTAGGCCTGCACCCTACCCAGTCCTGGTCAGCACGTACCACTGCCTTGGTTTTGCAGATGAGTAAAGCCACTGGTTGAGACAATACTTGGGCCCTCCAAGCACAAACATGGTTGGCCAAAATCCAAGTGCTGGTCGTTGGAAGTCCCTCCCCACTTACGTTGCAGATTCCCTTGCAATCCCCTTGGGGTGAAACCACGGTAGGGGCTCCCACAAAGCGACCCACGATGCTGGCAGTGGTGCTGGATGTCTACTCTGAACTCTTGTCCCTCAGGAGGAACCGCAGGCTTAAGGGGACCTCTCTGTGGGGCTCTACTGGCCCGGGGAAAGGCAAGGCCAAGTCAGCACAGAGCTGCTTCTCTCACTCTTCCAATGCAATCTGCGGATAGGTACTACTATTCATCCCATTCTACAGACGTGACAATTGAGGCACAGAGAGGACAACACGGGAACCCTTATCTGACTCACGTCCCGTCTGCTTTTGATCGTGACAGTGGAACTCCTCACACTGTCCCTCTGCTTCCTACCTCCCAAGAGCAGGCATCCCTCTCCTCCATCACGGCAGACAGTTTGTGTAACATTTCTGCTAGAGATGGCAAATTCAGTGGAGGAGGTAGGAGATGCAAGGGGAAAGGAGGAACAAAGGGACTTTCCGATTCTTCGGACACTGGTGATAGCAGGACTCCATTTGTTAATCACCACTTCCCCAGGACCTCCCCGCCAAAAAAAGCTGGTGGTGGGACTGGAAACCCACATCAGTCCCCTTCCCCACCAGAGCCTACCTTGGGCCACTGGGGGCTTTCCAGCCTCCCTCTGGATGAGAGCAGCTCCCCCACCCGAGGAGGTCACCCTGCTGCTTCCCTAAAATGTGGGTTTAGGCTTTGAGCTTTTAACCAGGGGAGACACAGGCCTAGAAAGGACTTTTTCAGGTCGCATGGCTTGCAGGTGTCAGAGCCCAGGGCGAACCCAGGGGTCCTGAGGCCAGGGTTCTTTCTCCACTCCAGGGGCTGCCATTCTGTGTGAAGTCTCCTCACAGCAGGAGGGCTACCCTTCCCAACGCTGCTCCCTTAAGAAAACAGTCCATGAACATCTCACAAAAGAGCTTTAGGAGAGTGTCTGATCCCAGGTTAGGAATGACCTTTACCCCACCAGTTAAAGGAAGAAAACCAAAACACTGTCCCTTCTTTTCTTGTATTTGCATACAATGTCCAGAAGGAACTTCCAAGGACAAGACTGGCCCAAGGGTGGACTGACATTCACCTCTTTTGAATACTGAGCCACGTGAACTTAGAGCCTATTCAAAATACAGATCCCTTTAAAAACACTCTTTCCTGAAGCCCCAGGCTGGGAGTCAGGACTCAGGTTCTGGTCCCGCCTCTCCCACACACTGACTGTAACTTTGGGTAACTCACACATAGTCATCTACAAGGTTCCATTTAGTTATAAAGGTCTATCGTTTGAGACTCCTCAGCTAGATTCTCTAAGGGGAGAGATGGGACAGTTTTGGAGTCTTCTCAAAAAGTCCTTTTGTAATCCTTGGCCCGGGGGCATTTGCCCCACCCAGCTAGACGCCACTCCCTCCCTGGGACTCAGGTCTTCAGACCAAGCGGACCAGGACTGTTGTGTGAGTCAGGAGGACAGAAGGTGCTGATTTAAGGGAGCAGATTGAACACACCTCAGCTTTTGGAGACGTGTCTATCTAGGTTCAAATCCTGACCTTGAGCGGTAGTCATTTAAACTCTGAGCCCAAAGTTCCTCATCTATAAAATAATATCAACTTCGTGGGTTAAGAGGGTTGCATGAGATAATATTTGAAAAGCACCTGCACATAGAAGGTAGTTAACAAATGTTACCATCTTTTCTCGGTCCCTTCATCAGAGCAGCAAGAACACTGGGACACAGAGGAGGCTGTTTTGTCTTTCGGTTGGTTTTCTTATGCAAATCCATGAAACACAGACTTCTCAATTGGTTCTCCTAGCAATTTTGTTGCTACACACCCAAAACTATGTAGGCTGCTCACACCACTGGAGCAGAAAACAAAACCCACCCGACTTTGCCAGCTTAGGACTTCAGGAGGCTTAGTTTTCATTTGTCTGCATGGAGAAAACAATGCCAAGTGGCCTCTGGGAAATGGCACAATGAGTCTCCAGCTGGGAGGGGGCAGAGTAGGGAGAGATGGAGAACGTCAGCACTTCCTGAGGCTTCCCAATGCAGCAGGACTGGGAGCTCGGGGCGTGAGGGCTCTCTGCCATTTCATGGAGGACCTTGGGCTCCTCCAGGTCTCTGAGCCTTTGGTTAAACCATTACACCCACATTACAGGTTTGCCGTGATTAGATTAGACACCTCGGAAGTGGTCTGTGAATGTTAATTTTTCCTTCCTTCATTCTTTAAGAGCAAGGAGGCAAAGGCCTTCAAAGAGGAGACATTCACACAACTGCCTTGTAGCAAATGGGCCTGCAGAGATTTAATTGACGTAGAAAATACAGGCTTGTCACCAGAGTTGGTTATAACACGTGAGCTAGCCCCGAAGCACACAGAATGAGCTAAACAACAAAACAGACTTTTTCCCCCATGGCAGACTGATGCCTACAAAGCACGTGGGAGGAGTAAACAGTTTCTTAGTCCCTGACAAATGCACGGAGGGCTGGCAGAAATTTGGTGTCTATATAGGAGAGAGGCAAGGGCTACCCCATAGCTTTCGAGACAAACAGGGGGGCATTTTATTTAACAGTGGGACAGATGTCAGAGTACATCCCCTCTGTTGGGAAGCGGGGTCTGCAGGGAGCTCAGAATCCTCACTGCCAATGCCAGGTGCAGCCTCCCAGCTCCGAGGAAGGGTGGCGGGGGTAGAAACAAGAAGAGAAAACCAAGATGAGGACCAGAAGCCATCCCAGACTTTTTGTATGGCTTGATGGCTTCTTGAAAGTTGTGTGCTTGCGACCCTGAGACTCTAGCAGGGAGGGCTCTGGGGAGGAGCCGGAGGGAAGGGAGCCCTCCTGAGGACAGTCAGTCCCAGGAGAGAGAGGATGAGCAGCAGAGCTTCCAGGGGCTGGGGGTGGAGGAGGGACAGCTTCCAGCAACCTCTGCCAGGGCTCTGGGCCCGATCCTGAGATAGTCGAAAGGAGAGACCAAGTGCTCAAGAAAGGAGACATTTAAAAAAAGAGAGAGGTCTGATCTCTATGACGCTGAGGTATTAGAGCCTGGTCCAAAGGTACAGACATGCGGGGGGTGGGGAAGCTTTGTTCTGGTAAATTAAGGACCATACACACAGAACCACGGGGGTCCCAGCACTGAGTGCCCTGCGGGTCCAAGGGATCAACTCCGCTCCCAAGGGAGGCCCTTGGCCTTGGAAGGCAACTCCTTTAATCCCTCCTCCTCCCCTGGAGGGGCCCTTGGGGCCGATGACCCCCCCACCAGTGTTCCTCGTCCACACTTTGCAGCCTGAGAGACATGGTCTCAGGGGGGCAGCTCACAGTTTCGGGCCCCACCATCCTTTCCATCCAGCCCCGGCCCCCGTGGCTCCTCTGAGTGGGGAAGCTGGCAAACGGGGGAGGACGATGCTTTCTCAGAAGGAAGAAAGCACAGGCAGCTCCTCAGGCACTTGGTCTGGGTGCAGGAGAGGCTCAGGGCCTCAGTAGTGATACACCTTCAGCCTATTGTTCTCATCCAGGCCCAGCTGCAGGAAGTCAGAAGAGGCTGGCAGCCTGGGCCCTGAAGAGAAGAGACGTCTGGCGGCGAGGTGAAGGAAAACTCCGCGGTCAGTTAAGTGCGTCCAGCGAAGGGCCAGAGGCCAAACGGGGCCATCCTTGGACCCCCGGGGCCCAGCTCAGCCATCCTAGCAGCTACAGCAGGAACGGAGCAAGGCTCAGGGACCAGTCAAAGGATACGACTTGGGGTCATTCTTGTAACGCTGTAGCCACTTTCGGTTAGCCTCGATCAGGCCCTGGACGTCGGTGCTGCCCACCTCGGACACCTGGGGATGGGCCCGCTGCAGGAGCCGCAGCTGCTCGCTGGGAAGGAGGAGCACAGCGTGGGGAGGGGAGGAAGGGGCTGTGTGGAACAGCCCACAGGCCAGCACTTCTCCCTCCTCCCCTCTACACGCCAGCCTCTGCCTGCTTTAGCAGCTCAAAGCTTCCTCTGCTGGGGAGAATGCCCCTCGGGGAGGGCGAGCATCAGGTCCCCAGAGAGGCGGTGGTGAGCCCCTCCTCTGGTGAACACTCCCGACGTCAGCCTGGTCCCGGTCACTCTCAGCAGCCAAAGCTTTCCCCTCTCTTGACTCAAATACCCACCCAGCCTCAGCTCCCAAGCGGGCCAAAGGGTAAATGACAGTGCTTAGGGTTGGGGGCCTGTGGGGTGGGGACGCAGAGGACAACTTGGCAAGGCAGAAGATGAATGGGAAGTTAACAACAGGTTTAAATAATTGCCCATCTGTCCTTCCCACTGGGTGCCCCTCTTGTGCCAGATGTTGCTCAGCAGGGCTGAGGGAAGAAAGGAGCCCATGAAGCAGACAACGAGCTTGATGGCAAAGACAAAAGCCACACTCAAGGGCAGGAGGGGCCTGGGGAAGGAGCAGGGTCCCAACAGGGGCTGATTTCTCCCTGCAGAGATGCTACCAGGCAGCTTCTTCACAGAGCCAAGCCAGGTGAGGACAGCTGCCACGGGACCCCAGTGTTTTGGCCTTTTCTCTCAGCGTGGAGAGGCACCTCAGACCCGGGCAACTGCATGACTTGGAGGCCCGTCCAGGCTCGCTCTCCATGACCAGAGTTCTCCCCTGGCCGGAGGCACAGCAAAGCAGCAGGGCTGTGTGGTTCACCCTGAGCCCAGAGGGACGCTTACCTGGCCGACACATAACCCAGCCTGTTCTCCAGGGGGGCAGGGCCAGTGCTGAGGAACGGTACTCCAGCTGCAAAAGTGGGGGCAAATCGTTCAGAAACGGGCACTGGAAAGCAGCCCCAGCAGGCTGCCTCCCGGCTCATCGGCACCTCCTGCCTCGCACAAACACACCAAAACAGGGCCAGTTTCAGTGGTTGCAGGGGAGAGACAGATGATAGGAATTGTCCTATTATTTCTAAAACTTAATCTGCTTTTCCCATTCTTCAGCAGGACTGAGAGACCAGGTGAGCACTGCCCGCCCCCCCCCACCCCGGCCCAGAAGCACTGGGAAGCTGGATGGCCAAGCGGTAAGGAGCAGAATCTTGAAGTCGGAGAAACATGGGGTCAAGACCCAGTGTGTTACTTACTCCCCAGGTACCCTGAAGCATCTCCCTTAACCTGAGTTAGGACTCCTGCCGGCCCATCATACAGTGTACAAGATGGCATCTAGTGAGGAGGAGGAGGAGCTCTGAGGGTCTGCTGAGCTCTGGATCCCATCAGAAAGGCTCCAATCAGAGGCGCCTGGGTGGCTCGGTCAGTTAAGCGTCTGACTTCAGCTCTGGTCATGATCTCTCAGTTTGTGAGCTCGAGCCTTGCATCAGGCTCTGTGCTGACAGCTCAAAGACTAGAGCCTGCCTCGGATTCTGTGTCTTCCTCTTTCTCTCTGCCCCTCCCCCACTCACCTGTGTGTGTGTCTCTCGAAAATCAACATTAAAAAAAAATTTTTAAAAGGCTCCAGTAAATCATCATGACCCGCAGAGCCTGTGGCCGCAAGGTGACCCACGGCCGTAATCAACAGACCATGCCAAAGCTGGGGGTGGCAAGGGGCAGGCAGAGGAGGAAGGGAGGGAGGCTTACCTGGAAAATATTTGCGCCACTTCTCCACCAGGAAGTCATCCACTGTTTGAGCCGCAGAGGAGGAGAGCCTGGGGCCCAGCCCCGGGTCCCAGGCCCACTGGGTGGATGAGGGTGTAGCCAGCGGCGAGGGTGAGAGCCGGGAGGGGCAGGCAGGAATGGAGGTGCTCCCAGCGGCCCGGGGCGGGACGTGCGCTGGCGTGGAAGTGAAGAGAGGCAGTGGCGGCTGCGGGTTGAGGCTGCCCAGCATGCTGAGGACACCATTCAGCTGGCTGCTGATGCGCTGCAGCGAGCTGCTCAAGTAGTAGATCTTGTTGGGGAAGGTGGCACTTGTGGTCAGGTTGACTGAAAGGCAGGGACTCGACCTCAGCGCCCAGAACGGCCCCTCCTCACCCCGTACGCCCCGTCTGCCAGACCACAGCCCCTCGGCTCATGGGGAACAAGGGGGACAGCAGGGCTTCCGTGGTCCAGAAGGTGCAGAGCGGAAGCTGGCCAGGGGAAAAAGCCTTCCAGGGTGTGGGCAAGGAAGGAACAGGAGACGGTCCTCTGCCCCTTTGCAGACCAGAGCAGCAGAGAGAACCCCTCCCAGAAGGTGGCACTGGAAGGTCTCTGCACAGTCAGGGGGCCCCTGATTCTTTCTGCCCTGGGTGCTGGCAAACCCCGACGGGGTCCCTCCTCCTGACCAACCCTGAGTACCTGCCCCAGACCCTGGCTCCCAGAGGCCTGCGCACACCGAGCTGAAGGAGGGAGGCTGCCCCTCAGGCCCCCAAGCCCCTCCCTCTCCATGGATACTGTGGTCCCCCTCTGGGCTGCCACCACTCACGGTGAGGCAGAGGGCAGGATTCAGAACTTGCGCTGCTCATGTCTTCAGTGTCGCTGAGATCAAAAGTCACCACCTTCTTGGGGGGGGCGCCTCTCAGAATGTCCTCATCTGGGACCTGAGAGATACAAGCAATAGTTAGTGCTGACCCCTGCCCTGTGCGTTCTGCCCACCGCTCTTGCGCTGTGTTGAGGTTTGGGGGCTCTCTGGGACCCCAGGTTCTGGCACAGGCTGTCTTGCATCACAGGGGGAGGGAGGTGGAGGCTAAAAGGTTACAACGGCCTGAAACACAGGCAGCTGGGACCACAGCCCCTTCTCCCTGGCAAACTCCCCCTACAGGGTCTGTTCACCCAGGCTTCCCTCCTGCCTCACCCACACCTCTGGCATCCGGGGGAAAGTCGACCAGGCCACTAAGTACGTCCATTCCTTACACGAGGGGCACACTTTTCCTCAGGAACCATGGCGGGGGAGGGCAGGGGAGGGGCCAGTCCCTCTCTCAAGAACCTGCAGCAAGAGGCTCTGGGTCTGCTCGGGACCCCCCCCCCCACCCCAGCACAGATCTGTTCAACAAATGCAAAGTCGAAGCCGCTGCCCTTTTCACCAGCTCGGGAGCCCCAAAGGCCCAGCACCCCGCAGCAAGAGACCAAAGAACCCAACCACATCCCAGGAACGGCAGGAGGCGGCCATGGGGCAGCACCTCTTCCAGAAGAGAGGACTCCAGCTGATTCAGCTTCTCCTCTTTCTTCTTCAGCAGGTCGTGGCCCTTCCGCATGGCCGACTTCATCTCATCCAGGTGCCGGGTCTCCTGCAGGCAGAGAGAAGGGGGAGGACGCAAATGGGGCTACGCGCGGATGCGGGAGGCCCACCTACAAATTCACCTGAGAAATACTAGTTTTCATGAGGTCGTGAGAATGAAACGAGACAGTGCGTGTTACGTGCTTAGTGCTGTGCCTGCACCTGACACACTCTCAAGGGGTCCCTGCCATGCTCCAACTCCCCTATCAGCACTGAGCAGAGCAAGGACAGGGCCGGGGGCTGCATGCAGACGCCCCAGGAAGCCTGCCCCTCGCCAGCTCTGAGCACCCACACAACGCTAAGGGAGCTTCTGCCAAGACCCCTCTTGATGGCCCAGAGATCTGTGATCCTAACACAGAGTAACAATGAAGTTTCTCTCTTTTCATTGGAAAGTAGGGCATCAGAGAAGCAGTTCAGTCTTCTGCCCAGGGTGCTCCAAAGACTCACTTAGGAACCGAGTCTTTAATGTGATGGAATGGACAAGCAAAGCACTGGCTGTGAAGTTTTAAAAACCTGACTTGTACTTCTCATCTAGAAAATGAGAGTAACCACTACTTTGCGCATCATCTACGGTCACATGAAGAGCAAATGGCCACTGGAGAAAGCATTCTGCACGTGCATATCGACATGCAAACGTAAGGTGCTTCCATCGTCGTGGAGATAGACAACCTGCATCACCTGCCCCATCTCCCTAAAAGACTCATCCGGTGACCCCAGGGCCTGCGTGGCCACTGTTGTGGAATCCCCAGAATCCACCAAATCCACCAAAGGTGGATGTTGCCCCGCGTCCCCCAGCACCCCCGCCAGCCCCTCCCCACCGCCCCCCCCCCCCCAGGACTGGCAGGGTCCCCTCGAAGCTCCTGACCTCCTCCAAGTCCTTGCGCACGTCTTCCAGGGCCTTGGTGCCCGGTGGATCTTGGGTGGCTTCCTGAGCACCGGCCAGCTCCTGGCGCCAGTGCTGCTGGGCGGCTTTCAGAGCCGTCTGCCGCCTCCGCATGGAGCGCGTCTGCCGCACCAGGAACTCCTTGGCACTGCGGAGGGCTAGCCCCTCGGCAGAGAGGTAGTGTCGGACGCTGTGGGAGGCCAGGGCAGAGGGGTTGGAGAGGGAAGCGAACGCTCCGAGAACCCCCTGCTGTGGGTCACTAGACGACTTCCCCAGCAGAGGCTCGAGGGGAGCACAGACTATGCCGGGCTGGGCAGTGAGTGGATGCCGCCATTAGATACCTACAGTGTGCAGCATGCTGCAGAGTCGTCCTGCCCTGTCTCTGAAAGGGAGGGGGCCAGGGGCCTCCAAACAGATGGCCAGACACTCCCATCAGCCTGACCCTCAACCAGAAAGCAGCGGATGCCAGCAGGCGGTATCAATGGCCCCAAGGGCACCTTCTGGGCTGGCCAAAGGGATTCCCTTGGTCCCTGGACCCAAGCCCCACCGGTGACCACAGCCACCTCATTTCAGTTAGCCCCAGATCTGTGAAGGCACCCCTTCAGCAAATGCTGGACCCAAACTAAGGCTATCAGGACTCACCTGTCCAAGGATAAGTCGGTCTCCTCCTTGCTCTGGGGGAGAGAAGAGGATACCTCTTTGGTCTGGTTCTAAGGACACACAGTAGAAAAGACCCACTGAATATTAGACACACTGCCAGCTCAAGGGACCCCCGAGCCCCTCCCAAGGGCCCGAACACAGAAATGGCTCCGTCAGCTGCTTCGCACTGCCCGCTTACAGTTACCATCGGACCGACGGGGATGGGGGACTAGGAACAACAAGGCCCGGAGACCGAGGATGCATATAGAGCGGAGCCAGACCCCCTCCTGGAGCCCCGGCCTGGCCACCCTGTCCCTTGCAAGGCACAGAGAACTCACTGTCCCAAGGGATTTCCTCAGGTCCTCAATGTGGAGATCTGGCTCAACACGTGAGGAGGCATTGCTCTCCTTAGCTGCCAGCTCATTCAACACCTCCTGCTTCCTCTGAGTTTCAGCCTCCAGGTCACTGTGATGGGAAAGGGGATTGGGGGTGGGGGAGAGGCAGGCTCCCATGATGGAACAGGATAGGTGGCACACTGTCAGGACTGCTAGTGTGGGCGTCAAGCCCCCATCTCAGGGAGACAGCAGAACCGTCTCCATCCCTTCACTTCCATCAAAGGCCCGGAGGCAGGGCTGGGCCATGACCAGTAGACCAGGGACCGCCACCCACCACCCCCCCCCCCAACAACAGCTGTTCACAGCCTCTGAGCCCCCACTCCCTACAAAATGCAGCAAAAGCCCCTCTGCCAGGCTCCACCCCTGCCACTCAACTGAGCAGACAGGGCCCAGGAGCATCAGAGGGCAGGCAAGAGGCAGCAGGAGTGGCCAAGTGCAGGGTGCCCACCCCACCTGACTTGTTTCTGCAGCTTCCGCCTCTGGGTCTGCAGCACATCCACCTGGGACTCTAGCTCCAACTTGTGGGCCCGAAGCTCATCAAGAATTCTTCGGAGCTGTTGGTTTGTCTCCAACAGATGGGTGTGCTCCTTCTTTGCCTCCTCCAGGTGATGATGGTTGGCTGTGGCTTCCTGGGGGCAGAAGAAAAGCTAGAAGCACCTAGAGCCACGTGGGGCAAAGGCAGGGAGCAAGAGGACAGGGAAACTCGAGGAGCACAGCGGGGAGAGGGTGGTCGCTGTGCCCACTGTCAGGAGCCGTGCAGGCTCCATCCACCCTCCACAGCCCCACCCCTGGGGTCCGCTCAGGACCCCACACGGCCGGGCTATCTGCGGGATGCTGCCACCATAGTTGGGGACCCTAATGACCTGGACAGATCAGGTGAGCACAAGGTGGGATGTGGGGCAAGAGGGAGAGAAGGGAAGGGAGAAGGAATGGGGGAGAGAGGAGGGAGGACAAGACAGGTGGACACACCTCGCTCTCCAGCGCCACCTGCCTCTGCACTTCAAGGAGCTGCTGCCTCTCCACTCGGGCAGTCTCCTCCTGTGGGGGAGGGAAGGACATGGGACCCTTGGCCATCCCCAGGCCCCAGGTCTAAGGGGCAGGAGGACCCATGCTCTCCTATGGGAGCTATGACTCCACGGTCAAGGGCACCTGGAGATCCTGTCCTCAACTCCCGCTCTCTCACCTGGATGTCCAGCTGAGCCAATCGGGCCTTGACATCTTTGGTTCTGGTTTCCAGTTCCACCTCTAAATTTTGGAGTTTCCTTTCCTGCACAGAAATAGGTGGAGTGAAAGATGTAAGTGTAGAAAGAGTGCAAGGCATTAGCTGGGGGTGCAGGAGGGAGTCCCAGAGCCAGATTCCACAGCACGCCCTCCAAGCTGGGCTCGGGCCTCCTCCCATTTGCCCTTGCAGGCTCCCGGGAAAGCGCCACACCTTGTTTCTTCCTACGGGGGGCAAGGAGAGGCAAAGGTGCCAACCCCAAACCCCCAGGGGGGGCTGACCTCCTCTAACCCTGGGGATGGGCCCTGGCCTGGAAGACGAAGGCACTAACATGCCCTGGCTTGGGGATCGCCATGAGACCCCCACTCCAGAAGCTGTCAAGGCTCAGATCCGCTGCTGCCACAGATGCCTGCCTCCAGCACTCCTCCTCCTGCACAGAGGTATCAGAGTGGGTTCACCCTCCCCAGTCCCCAGTGGCAGCCCAGAGCCCCTACCTGCTCCCGGTGCCGCCGCCGTAAGTCCTCCAGCTGCCTATCCTGCGTCTGCCTCACGGCCTCTAGTTCACGCTCGTGCGACCTTCGAAGGCGCTCCAGCTCACAGGTCAGGTGTCCCAGGAGTTCAGCCCGCTGCTTCCTCTCCTGCCCAGAAAGTGAGGCTGTGGGCGGGGAAACTGCAGCGTCCCCCCCCCACCCCCACAGCCTCGGGTCAGCAAGGTCAGGGACCCCATCAGCTCCCTGGGGTTGGCTCTTCAAGGAGAACACTGCTCTCGTCCCCCAGAAAGCCCGCACCACTCTCTGCCGCGGATGCCATTAGGAGGACCCCCGCCCCATCCGCGGAGTCTGCCTCTCCTGCTGTCCCTCCATGTGCAGCTTCCTTCCTTAAGGGAAGAGAGGCCACTGCTCTTGAGCAAGTTCAGAATTGGTCTGGGGAGGGAATCAACTACATTTTATCACAGGCTGGTCATTCCTCTGTGGAAAAGACTGTACAGAAGAGCTGGGATATGAGTTCCGGTCAGTGGGGTAGTGGCCTAAAAGTCCTGGGGCAGAGGCCCTGTGGCCCCTGCTCACCCCTAGTGTGAGCAAGCCGAGCTGGCTGGGTCCACTCTCTCACCCAAGGGCAAAGGCTGAGGATGGGCAGAGATCGAAGTATTATTTGGCTCTTGCTAGACTACTTCTTAGTGTCCCGGGATTGCAATTAACCCTGATGGCCTGGTGTCGTCAGGGTAGCAAAAGTTGAAGGCTCTGGAGTCAGACAGCTGGGCTTGAATCTTAGCTCCTTGACTTATTGGCCTGGAACACTTGGGAAAGATGCTTACACTTCTGTCTCCTCGGTTCTAAACTGGAGGTCACAATAGTCCCCACCTCCTTGGGGGTGCTGGGGGTGCTAAATGAGTCTGCACACATCAAGGGGCTGAGACCAGCGGCGGCAGGGGTAGGAGTTCCGAATCTGTGAGCCGCTACCCCTCCGGGAGGGGATGCAGCCTGCCCGCTGCGGGGCGAACAGGCAGGACGGGGCCGCGATGCCACCTCTGCAGGGCGCAAGCCGCCGGCTGCCGAGGACGCGCGGTGCGTGTGAGTGCGTGCGCCGCGCATGCGCGCCGGGGAAATTCACCTCGGCTTCGTACTGCTCTCTGGCCTCAGCCAGCACCTGCTGGTGCTCCTCCTTCATCCTGTCCATCTTCCTCTCGTGTTCCCTCTCCACCTGCTGGCGCTTCTCTCGCAGGAGGTCGCTGAGCTGTGGGGCAGGCAGCAGGGATGCAACTCGCAGGCCCGAGGGTGGGCCGGCACGTGGTATACACAAACACAACCTCCGCGCACGCATGACACATGACGTGCACACGCCCCGCCCCCGCGCCCCTTCCCCACTCGTGTACGGGGGGGGGGGTGGGGGGTGGGGGGTGCGGGGGTGGGGAAGTGCCCAGCCTCCAGGGAACTGAGGCACAGAGGTAGAACCAGACGTTCTAGCCCCAGCCGAGCCATCCAAGGCAAAGCAGGGCCCCTGGGGCCGGGATGGAGTGCCCGTGACAGGGATACACGAAGTCGAAGGAGCAGACCAGCATTTACCTCTTGCTCGTACTGGAACACTTGGTGAGCCTTCAGATGAGCCCTCTGCTCTGCCCGACCAAGGCTCTCCTGCAGCTGGGCCTCCTCCCTCTGCTGGGCCTCCTCCATCTTCTTCTGGAGGCTGGAGACAACCTGAGGAGGTCCCAGCCCAGGGGACATGACACTCAGCACTGCAGAGCGACTTCAGGGACTCGCTTGCCAGGGGCCCAGCAGCCAGCCCCACTGGGGTGGGGGGGGTTTCAGGCGGAGGGAGACTCCCACCCTAGCGACAGGCACGGGGTGGAGTTCGCAAAGGGGCCCTGAGGCTCACGCTCAGGGACCAGGATGGCCACTCCACCTTGCAGGCCAAGGCCAGCTGCCTCTCACCTCTCTGTGCTTGGCCGCCAGCGAGGAAGAGAGCCGCTCCAGCTCAGCTCGGTGCTCACTCTCCAGTGCTGCCACTGCCTGAGGAGCAACAAGGGGCCTGTGAGGGACGCAGGGTGGGGAAGGCGGACCAGGCACTGACCCCGGAGGGAGGAAGGAATAGCCAGGAGAACCGTGCCTGACTCCCGTCAAGCCAAAGAGCCAAGGGGAACCACAGGCACAGCTTTGCTGCCCCAAAATAACACAGTCCCTAAAGTCTGCGACTAGCAAATGAACAGGAACATGAAGGCCAGAGTGGAGGGGCATTTCGGTAAGCCTCGGGTCACTGCTTCCATCCCCCAGCCCCTGGGCTAGGCCACAGGTACACAGGTGACACTTGTGCCTGTGAACAAGGGCCCAAGGCGGTGAGGGCTGGAGGTCCAGCACTAGCTGCCTGAGCACCCAGAGGACAGTACAGTGACATCCTCCCCCACCTTGTGTGGCTGCTCCTGGTCTAAGAGCTGAAGCTCACCGTCGCCCAAAGAAAGAAGGTCGACGTGGCCTGGCTGTGCCCTACTTCCGCCTCTCATCTAGAGACGGACCCTCAGGAGACAGAGGATTGGAGGCCCAGGGAGTAAGGGCAAAGGAGAAAATCCTCCTCTACATGTGCCAACCTCGCGAAGGAGAGACCAAAGTTCATCACAGCTGCCCCTCGGGGACAGGGCCCCTTTGTCTCAGAACCTCTGGTCTGGCCCGGGTTCTTTCGGTCATGAAATCTGCCCAAATCCAGGGGCCATTTCCCCTCAAGCTTCTTCACTGTGACTGACAGCGCCCGGCTACTGCTGGCCCCAGATGGAGCCCTGGATACCTGCTCTTTCCCCTCCTGCACCAGGCAGACCCGGGCTAGCACCTGCCCCGAGACGGCCGGGTCCACACGGGGCAGTGGGCCCGGACAGCCCACCTGCCGTCTACCACCTCCCGTGCCGGGTGTGTGGACACCTCCTCTGTGCCCGGTCCCCCACCCCACACGCCCAGCCCGGCGCCCAGCCCCTTCCCAGGCAGCGCCAGGGGCACGTCAGACGGGAGCCCCACGCCGCTGGCTCACTTCTTTCCTCTCGCCCTCCAGCTGTTCCCTGAGCTGCTGCAGAGCCCTCTCCTTCTCGGCCTTCAGGGAAGCCCGCTCTCTCTCCTCCGAGGCCTCCATCTCTTCCTTGAGCTGCTCCAGCATCTGTCTGTTCCTCTGCTCCAAGCTGGCCCTCTCGGCCTTCTGGAGAGACTCCGACTCTTCTCTCAGCCTCTGCAGGGAAGCCTCCTGCTCGGCCCTGTGCAGACAGACGGAATGGGCCAGGCCCGGGCACTCGGGGGGCACCGCGTGGGGCAGGAGGCTCACGGCGCACCCTCACCTGATCTGGCTCTCATCTGCTTCCACATGGGACTGCACCTGGGCCAGGAGCTGGGACAGCCGCCGGCTTTCCTCCTCTCTCATCCGAGTCTCCTCTTCTTCGGTGGCTTTCCGCAGCTGCGCCTTCAGGGAACTGGGAAGGAAAAGAAAGGCAAGTTTGTTGGAGGAACCGCTCTTCTAGTCATCAGCCCTGACTCCCGGCCTCCACAAGCCTGCAGGTTGCCTGCGAAGTTTCCTAAATCTGGGTCCTGCTGCCTCCCTGTAATACATCCCATATAAAGAGGGGGGCGTGAACTCTATCCACTCTTTGCTGCAGCAAGCAGAGGGACAGGCTGCTTGATCCCAGGACAGGATTTCTGCCAGAGGTTTCCCCTTGCCTGTAAATGCACCTCGGCGCAGCATTCGCTCCAGGACAGACGCAGTCTGACCCCAGCCCCGGGGTGGGTCACATCCCCTCACTGCCCCCGATCCACTGTTGCAGCCACATCAGAGGAGACACCGCCTCTCAACTCCACCACGATCCTCCTCGCCTCCGGGCCTTTGTTCATGTGGGCGCCTCTCCCCAGAATCCCCTCTTCTACCTGACAAACCCATAGTTGCCACTCAACGCCCGGCTCCCTCCTCTCCGAGAAGCCTTTGCAAGTTCATCGACTAGCCTTTCTGTTCCCATCGCCCTGTATATGAAAGACCTTCCTTATCCCACGCATCACAATTCATCTTTTGTAGGTCTGCTTTCCTGACAAGTCTGGGAGCTGTTCCAGGCAGAATCAGGTCTTCCACTTGGTTATATCCGAGGTGTTGAACAACAGTAGCTAACATGAAGCAGGTGCTCCGTACATGTCTGTCAAATTTGAACAGCATCGCCCAGCCCCAAACTCAGAAGCAAGTGCTGATGACCCATGAGGGATGCCTTATTTACAGCCAAACGACAGTAAGCATTTCATCCCAGGCAGACATCCCCCTGCCCACGCAGCCCCTACGTGACCAGGGGCTGTGTGCTGTGCACTCAGGGAATTCAAGCCTAAGAGAAATACGATTCAGAAGACAATTTCTTAGAAAAGCTTCCTAGTGGATTCCAAAGGTCATCTTCAATTTCAAGTTATCTACACCACTGCTCTCTTCCATCCTGATAGAAAATTTGAGTTAAATAAAAATCCTCCCTTCTAGATCCCCCCAGAAACCCTTTCTCTCTGTCCCATGGCTCCATTTCACACGTAGCACCACAGAATGTTAGAGCCGGAAGGGTCTTGGCAGGTGAAGGCCTTCATTTTATAACTGTCTCTCTTCATCTCACAACTAAATTCAATCTCTTCATTTTATGACTAAAGAAACTAAGGGTCAGACTGCCTGTCTTCCTGCCTGCCTTCTGATTCAAGAACTATTTGCTACAAGGTCAGCTATGGCTTCCAGAAATTTATACCAACTGAAGTTTCCCAGCAGAGGCGGCCCCACCCCTCAGAAAGGCTCATGCGTGAGCAGAAACCGGGTTCTCGCAATCAACTATTTCATAGTGAGTCTGACAAGGCGCTGCCTACAGAAAAATCACTTCGTGGAGGCCATGGCCATCACTGATTTCAACTGAAAATCAAGAGCTGCCATTTACTGAGCAACTACTGTGTTTCGGGCCCTGAGTCAGATACTTTTGGCACGTGGAGTCTTCACCACGACCTGAGAGGGCTCTCGGATGCCCCTCTGGAGCTGGGGGTTTGGTGAGGGACGGAAAGCACAGTCAGCCAGGCCCAGGGTGGCCAGGAAGAGAGGAGAAGCTTAGACGGCTGGCAGGGAAACACAGCCAGGATTTCATCCAAGGCTCTGCCTGTCAACATCAGCTAAGTCTTACCCTGTTTGGGCAGGCTCCTGCCCGAATTTTCATTTGGCTGGAAGAGGAGGATGCTGCCTGGCAGGGGACACAGAAGGGGTGATAGAAGGATGGAACCTGGGTCAGCAGGTCCTGTGTTGGGCTAATGAGAGGGTTGTCCCCAACCCCTGGGTGGCTGGGGGTTGGTTTTCTATTAGTTTCTCTGAGCATAAGCATTTTCTACACTCTTTGCTATGTATGCTATAAAAGTAAGTCTACCACTTTGGGATGTTCTGTCCAAGAGGAAAAGATTTAGCCTTCAGTTACATGGTTGAGTAAGTGCAGAGTCTGTTAACACCTTTTTGTCGTACCTGTCCCCTCCTGGGCCTATGGCAGATTGCTGATCACCTTGTCGGTGGCCCTTCTCCCATGCTCCCTTCCTAAAGGGGCCCTGATTTTATTCCATCAGGTAAAGAGGCCCAGCTGAAGGAGGACATTTCCCAGTTTCCTTTGCAGCCAGAAGTAACCAATGAGATGTGAGTGGAAATTATTGAGTAAAATTTCCAGGAAAACTCCTTACAAGAATAAGCAGAAGTTATTAGGTGAAGTTTCTAAGAAAGAGCCTTAAAAGGGACCGAATGAGCTAGAAGTTACCAGTTTTGTACTCTATCCCTATTCTCCCTGCTGGCAGCACAGACACGATGACTGGGGATTCAGCAGGACAAAGAGGCCCTGAGAGTAACCAGCACTCAAGTGCAGAGAGATTAAAGGACCACCAGGGACCTGGTGACTCTGAAGCCGCTGTGCCAGCCCTGGACAGCCTTTTCTTATGAAAGTAACCTCCAGCTTATTTATGAAGTATACACACAATCTCATCCACACAGGCCCGGCCCAGCCTTCAGTGTCTTGCTTGTTGAGGTCCTCCCAGCCAACACCACAAAGAGTAGGAACCCAAATGAAACTTCTGGATCCTGGGAAATAGCACCTCACACCATATTATGTGGTCCCTACCAATCTCGCTGGGTCCCAACAGGGCCCTGACTACCAAGAAAGAGGGCAATGACTACCAAGAATGGGCCCCAGGGACAAAGTGCCTGGGTTCTTCTGGCTCTGCTGCATTTTTTTAATTTATTTTCTTATTTACGTGAGAGAGACAGCATGAACAGGGGAGAGGGGCAGAGGGAGAGAAACAATCTTAAGCAGGCTCCACGTTCAGCATGGAGCTCGACATGAGGCTCAACCCCACGACGCTGGGATCGTGACCTGAGCAGAAATCAAGGGTCGGATGCTCAACTGACTGAGCTGCCCAGGCGCCCCCGGCTCTGCTTATTAACTTCAATACCTTGGACATGTTAAATAACCATTCTGTGCCTCAGTTTCTTCATCTGTCTGGTAGATCCTTTAACATGATAGGGTTGCTAGCAACACCTCATGGGACCCACTCTCAGGACGAAACCAATTAGCAGCTATGAGGCACGTGGACCCGTGTAATCTCTCAAAAACTGTCAGCTGGTCCCGCTGTTATCACGCCTCCCAACTCCCTCCCAAAGAGAGGAACCAGGAAGCCCATTCCTCCACAGAGGCCACCGAGGAGGAGTGTTGGTGGGGCCATGAGTGTCCGGGGTGGGAGGAGGGCTTCCCTTCCTCCCCATGTCACCTCGAGACCCAGGCAGCTTGCAGGGGAGGGACAGGACCTGAGAGACTTCTCTTTCTGCTGGTGAAGCTGGAGGACCTCCTCTTCCTCCTCCTGCCACAGCTTCTCCCGGAGCTGCTGAATCTTCTCTCGTTTCGATTCCAGAAGCCGCCTCTGGTCTTGCTCCAGGTCGTGGGCCACGGCCTCCTCCACGGCCCTCAGGGAAGCCTGCTTTGGGGGAGTTGCAGGCTCCGCAGCTCGCCTGCCAAGGGAGGAACAACACTCACTAGCTTTACTATCCCACCTTTTACACACACACAGAACAGCACACACGCAATCCTAATGGGGGGAGGGCCCAGGGTCAGGAATCACATATGCAAATCAGCTCACGCAAGGGGCAGGCAGGAAGGCTACCCCCTCAAGGATCCAGGCAGTATTTGTTCACAGGGCAAGCCTCACTGTGGCGGTCCAGGAAGAAGGGCGGCCCATACTGGGCTCTCAGTGGACCTGGTAGGTTGTAGCCCGAAGTACAAACCTGAAGATGTGGCTCAAGAGCTGACAGCGATAGGGAAAGACTGAAGCTCTGTCCCCAGTGGGTTCTTCCCCAGGACGGTTCACGGCCGTTTCCGTCTCCCCACTAGGGCTCTGCCTGCTCCTTGAGGCTCACGCCAGCACCTTGGGACACCCCCAGGGGCTACTCTCTGCCTCCCAAACTGAACACAGGCCAATGCTCATGAGCCAGCAGGAGAAGCCGCAGCATGTCTCCGAGCCCTGAGACCCCCAACAGTCCATGGAGGTCCAGGAACAGGAAATCTCCTCCCACGCTGCCTCAACAGCCAGGCAGGAGACTGCTCCCTAAGCCAAAGAGTGTAGCAAGAGTGCACCAAGAATGCCACGCTCCCATCTCCTTGATGACGCCACGTTTGCATCTGCTTGGAGTTAACTCAATATTTGGAAACGGGTAACAGAAATTCAGAGCCGACGTGGATGCACAAGGTGGGTGGTGAGATGAGGAATAAAGGTTAAAAAGATGTCTGTGTGAAGGTTGCTATATTGCTTGTATTCTGGTTCTTGAAGGAAATGCCCAGAGAAACCCAAGAACATTCAAGGCCATGAAAGCATCAGGGGCTAAAAGTACTGCACACCCCAGAGCAGCTTCGTCCTAAAGGCCAGTGCGAGTTTGCAGCCCCCGCTCCCTCAACCTGACTGGTCTCGCCTCACAACCACCACCCCCCACCCGCCCCGATGGTGCACGGGCGGCAGGCCAGGCACGCTGGCCCCATCAGCCTCAGCAGCGTGTGGACACGGTCCACTGGGGAGCAGTGGGGCAGGGGCTGCAGAGGGGAACCGGCCCCCGACTGGGGACGCGGGACCCCCTTTCCCCTCGCTGCGGCAGATGGAAGGCAGCAGGCGGGATCAGATTAGAACGGCAGAAGAAAACGCGGGCTTTGGAATTCCATCTCAGCCCCTCGAGACCAGAGAGAGAAGGAAGACATAAAAGGCTACTGACGTCTCTGAAATACCAAAAAGCTCTTTCCTCCCCCCTTTCCTAAAATCATAACTCAGCCTGGAAATGGCCTTGAGCCGTGCCTTCGACTGTCTTCTCTCAACGCCGCCCCGGCCCCCCTTCTAGTTCCGGGCTCTCCTCCAGACCCCCTGACATAGCCCAACCGATGCAGATGTGAGAGATGTGGCCGCCACCTCCTCTGAGAGTCCTGCTCTCGGAAAGGATCTCCCCCCGCCAGCTCTCCGCCTCATCAACCCTCCAACTCATTTCCAGCCTTGGCTGAAAACATCTTTTCTCCCTGAGACGGTACCTTTTAATGTCTCTCTCCCCTGTGGGCTGCGGAGCTATGTGGAGCCCCAGGGATAGATGCTGTGGAAAGATGCGGCCTCAGACGGCGTGGCAGCACGTGCCCGGGCCACACGCCCCGGCGAGCACGCCTGCACACCTGGCACGCGGGCCTCTTCTGCGTGTCCCCATTTTAAAGCTCTACGATCCCAAACGCCCAGCTTAGGTCCAAGGCAGTCAACGATGCCCTGAATGATTGAGGAGACAACTGGGAAGATGAAGCCTCCAGAGGAAGAGGCAGGTCTGATTTCTAGGCCGCTCCTCGGGTGTCAGCATCAGTGAGACCCAGTTTCCGACAGTCGGTGGCCAAGAGGGAGGCTCTGTGCGGGCATAATCACCTCAGGCCGGCCACCAAGTCATTGCGAGACAAGAAAGAGAAGAAGCAAGGAGGGCAGGCAGTGGGGAGGAGGGAGGCTGTGGCACCCAGGACATTCGGAAATGGCTGTGCCACCACTACAACCGCGAAGAGATCCTGTCCCCTCTCGTGCTCGACCCAGGGGTTTTCATTCATTCACCCCCCCGGGCCCCCTTTCTACAAGCACCTCAGGAAAGACGCCGGGATCACCAAGGGGAGGCAATCCCTGTGTCCCAGACCCAGGCCTTCTGGCCTCACAGCGCTTGCTGGCCAGCCCTCTGCCCCTAACTCCTCCTGAGTGGCTTGACAACATCTGTGAAAGGTGACGGATTCTATGAATCATGGTTTTTTATTTGGTGTTATTTTATGATGATGATGTTTTGACATCTTTAAAAGTTTGCTGGCAGAGAGACTGGCCCTCCAAGGATTAGCCAACTCTATGTGAAAGAACATGTCTTTCATGTATATGAAAATATATATATGTATATGAAATATGTATATGAAAGAACATGTCTTTCATATGCAAACCAACCAATCCCCCAGGGAGGCTAGACCACAAGCATCTCCTTACATAACTCACACCAGGCAACTGGAGGGCCACCCCCATAGCCCAAAGCCCACCAAAATCATTCATACTGTCAAATCCTACACTCACTCAAGGTACTTACCCTGCCTCGCCTATTCCTTCCCAGGGAAACCCCAACAAAGGCTCTAGGCTGTGCTCTCCCTTCTCGCCTCTTCTGCCTCCTGACACACCCTGGTCATCCCCCAGGTGGCCTGGCATGGTGTGGCAGGCCCTCTTCTCTCTGGAAGCGTAAGTAATAAATTCTTCCTTAATGGCACCGGCCTGTTGTTGTCACTCAGTCACCTCCATAAATCAGAACCCCGCAGGTACAAACAAATGAAACACAGACACAGGGCCACTCCTCACAAAACACAGACACGTAGCTGTGAACATGAATGACAAGGACGTTATGGGGCCTGAAAAGACCCTGCAAAGGAACAGAAGATACTTCCTAAGGGTTCTGTGTAAACTGTGTGGTCAAGGAATGTCTCTCTGAGACCCAGAAGGGGCGGCCTTGTTGGTTTGGGAGGAGAAACACAAAGCAAGGGGACTCATCAGCAAGACAGGGGGGAGGAGCCTCACTGCCCAGCTTCCCTCCCAGAGGCGCCAGGAAGACGCCTTCTGACCTCTGCCCAGAGGGTCCTGTCTCTGAACCACACTCGCCTCCTGTCCTCGTAGAAAACGCCCTGACCTGCTGTGCACAGCCCCCAAGGAGACTTGGGAAAGCCAGGTCATTCCTCAGGGTCAGAGCTGTCACCACCTGAAAAGTGGGGCTGTCCCTTCCCTACAGCACTCTGCAGTGCTGTGGTGAGGACAAAAGTCATGAGCTCACGTGCACTGCCAGCTCTCGGCGGCACTGCCTGTGAGTAACCAGTGCGTGAACCCGTCTCTAGTCAACGGCCCGAGTCCCGAGAGCTCATGATCCTTTTGTACCGCTCGGTTCACAGATGGGAAAATTTGCATAACCCTGGCTCCTCTCTGTCCCTGTAGAGAAAAGGAGCCGTGGCTGCACTCTGAGTCGGAAGTCTAGGGCTCCAGGGACCAGAGCCTCGTCCTAGTTATGCAACCGACCGGCAACGTGACATTGGGCAGATCCCTTCACGTGAGCCTCAGTCTCCTCATCTGTAAAAGGGGTGGGAGGGGAAAGGGAAATGGGAGGAGGAGAGCTCACTGATCTCCAAGTCTTAGAAGTGCTGGTGAGCTTTGAACCCAGGCCCAAAACACATATACCGGATACTGCATAACTCCGTCTACGTCCCGTTGGAGAACGGGAAAAACGAATCTACAGGACAGAAGCCAGAAGAGCGGTGTCCTGGGGTGGCGGATTGAGAGGAAAGGGGCGTGAGGAAATTTCCTGAAGGGACGGGAATGTTCCACATCTGATCTGCGTGTAAATGTGCATTGACTTGTACAGTTCAGATTTATGTGCTTTCATGTATGTAAACACCTCAATAAAATGTTTTTAAGAAAGCGAAAAATAGTGCGAGGTGGAGGGGAAAACAGGAAAAACTGCTACGCCGGGAGGTGCCCCCGCCCCTCCACCTCCATACCTCAGGCCCTGACCAGGAGCCCCGGGGACCTGGCCAACCCCACACTCAGATCGGTGACCACGGCTGCACACGATGAGGGGCACACGCAATCTTCCCCCGCCGCTCCCCCTGGGCAGGGGCCACAGCATCCCCTCCCAACCACCCAGGAGTGGTGGGCACTCACACCACACAGACACAAAGGAGGACGGGGACAGACACGAACACCGGCCCTTACACCTCTGGAGAGGCTGGTGCGGCAGGGCTGGCCGCCCCCTCCTCAGGCTCCTCGGCCCCGGAGCGCTGCTCCCTGCCCCTCGCGGGGGCGGCAGGTGGGCTTGGGGTCTCTTCCCTTGAGAGCATTGAGGAAGCAACGGTGTTAAAAGCAGTAGGAAGGCGAGAGGCCCCCAGTGCACCCATCTGGGGTCAGAGAGCTGTGATGAGGACAAGGGAAGTAGCCCCAGCTGAGTTTCCTGATCTCAGGCCTCACTCTCCCCCACCTGCCTCTTCCCAGGCCGTTTACACTGAAGACCAGAGGCCCGTCCACGTGGGCCGTGCACGGTTACGGCTCCGAAGGAGCCGCTCTGCACACAGCGGGGTAGGCAGCGGATGCTGTTGACTGAACATCGCTCTGCTTGGCTTCTCTCAGTGACTCATCCCAGCTGGATGTGCTCTAAAACCAGCTCTGACACCAGCATCTTCCTCTCACCGGGGGAACAGAAGATCTGGCCGATGTACGCCAGGCTCTGGGCCAGGCTGGGGCACGAAGGCCCTCTTGGCTGGCCTCAGGGAAGCCTAGGACTCTGCACCTCCCTCCCCCAGGGGCCCAGCATACAACGGGGCCCTACTTGGGTTTGCTGAAGGACCGCCGGGAGGGGTGAGGAGCACTGGCAGGTGGGGACTGGGCGTAGGCACAGCACAGCTCAGGTGGGGGACAGTCTCTGACCCAGGCCCCCGGCAGGAAGACAGCTGGATCAGAAGAGATGCTTCCTGGTTCAGGAGTTTCCAGGCTCCCCTAACTGGAGGGGGCACCCCAATTTTAGCTGTAGACTGAGGACTAGGAAGAAGCACATTTCCTCATTTTCCAGCTCACGGGGGACACTAAGTGGAAACCTGAGGTTGCTGCTTAGGCTGCAAACCGTCCCCGGCTTCTCACTTCCCCAGGCACCCCCGCACACACAACTACACACCTGGAAGACTTCCAGGTCCCCCTTACCTCCTCAGGGAACCGGCAGGGATGGAGCTGCCTGCAGAGTCCTCCCCGGGCTCCTCTGCCCGCTTCTGCTCAGGCTGCCCCTCAGAGGCCTCCGGAGGCCCTTCTTCGGTGGCCTGGCTCTGAAGGGGACTCTGGAGCCGCCTCCCAGGCACAAGTGGGGGAGAGGACCTGGTCAGAGCAGCCAGAGCAGCAGAGTCAGGCCCTACCATTTGGAGAGCAGGGAGAGAACTGGCGAGTGTGGTACGTGGACCTGGGTCCACTCCTCCTTCCAGGCAGGGCTCCGGTCCTGGCCCTACATCCATGGAGAGCCACGGAGGGCAAGGCAGCCAGAGAAGCAAGAGGGGGAGACTCCCCACTGAGCTCTCCCTTTGCCTGGACTAGACTCAGCCCTCCCGGGTCCCTGCACTGCATCCGCTTGGCCCAGGGGCGAGAGCTGGGCCCCCTCATGGGTGCATCCGCTCCCAGCGTTCACCATCACTGAGGCCAGGCAGGGATGCAAGAGCCGAGCGGAAAGTAGGGAGAAAAAGAGGAACCAGACTCGAATGGTCAGACTGCAGAAAATGCACAAAGGCAAGAAGGAATGCGGACAGCTCTTCAAGGTCCAAGAAGCAGGAGCACTGCCCCGCCTCCTCTTCCAGGGTAGCAGCCCTTCCCTCTCTCATTTCAGGCTCCAGCCTCAGAAGCGGGAAACCTTGGTCTCTCCCTCCTAGTCTCTCCGCTCTCCCTCCTAGTCTGTCTGTCACTCTCTGTCTCCAAATCACCTGTAGCTGTAGTACTGACCCTCTAGAAAGTTCCTCCAGCCCTGGCCCATGACCAGGCACACACACAGCTTAACCCATTCCAGTGAAGAGCACAGAGCCTTGGCCCACAGCGGTGTACAAAGTCCCACCACATGCACCCACACTCCTGTCTCGGTGCAGAGTCAGAGGGCATGCTCACGTACACACGCGTGCACACACGCACAGACTTTGCGAGGCCATCCAGTCCGCTCACCGTCTGCCCGCAGGCAGGAGCACAATGAGCCACGCACACCAAACCCAGGGGTTCTGCCCCGGTCCACACCATCCCAACAGCCCCTGAGGGCGGCCTCCCACGTACCGTACCTCTCCGAGCCTTTGCACCGCTTGCTCTGTGGCTCATCTTGGCTGGACTGGCTGCCCTCCTTGTCTTCTCTTCCCAACCTCTGGGCCTGTGGGCAAGCAGCAGTGGCAAGTGCCTACTGAAGAGGTCTGCATATGGGTCCCTCAACCGTCCAACCAACTCTCGGGCCTAGGAGGACATACTGAGAGGTGGCTCTTGAGTGGATGAGGACCACTCGGGACACAGAAGAGGAGGCCCATCTACTTAGCTCTGGCTAAGCCCCCAGGCTCGCAGCTGCTTCCAGGGCCGGCCTTGCTGGCCTAGGGACGATGAGCCAGATGCCACAGTCACTGCGTGCAGAGCCAGAAGCTAAAGGCGAACACGTACAAGAAAGAAAACCCTTCCTCCCGTCACTGGAAGCCTTCACTGACAGTTGCCAAGAGAAGGCCGAGACATCCGTGAACACCCCGAATCCACGGAGGCCTGGACCTCCAGTATCGGTGATGTACAGGGACGGCAAAGTCAAGCGGGCAGAAGTGGGGCAGCGGCCAAGCACATTAACAAGGAAGGACCCTGGAGAGATGGGGACGTGCTGAAACGAGACAGAAAGAGCACCATTTGGGCATCCGAAGGGAGGAAGACAGGGTGCTCCTCTGCCCCATTCTGGGCTCCCCGAAGCACCCAGGTCCCATCAATAGACGATGATGCCCCCTTCACAGTCAGGGACTGATTACTCCACCCATCCAAAAAATAAAACCCAAAATCTCATTTTAAAGCTGGGAATCTGGGCCAATTTAGCAAGTGGGTGAAAAAGAGGGCTGTTCTTTGTAAGTTCAATCATTTTCCGCGAGGGGGGGGCCCCAGGGGGCTAACAGTGTAGTCGGCCTGGACTCAAGCTCTTGTTTTTCCACTTCACTTATCCAGTGGCACCTTTGAAGTAAGTCCAGTTTATCAAATGTCCACTGCATCTCGATAAAGCTGCCCAAGGAGTGCTGGGGGGGGGCTCCATCGGTTCCCAGCTGGGGAGTCTATCTCCTCCACTCTAAAATGGGTCACCCAGTCGGTCGAGCATCCGTCCCTTGATTTCAACTCAGGTCATGATCTCATGCTGTGTGGGATCGAGCACTACACCGGGCTCTGTGCTGACAGAGCAGAGCCTGCCTGGGATTCTCTCTTCCCACCTCTCTCTGCTGCTCCCCTGCTCATGCTCTCTCTCTCCCTCTCCAAATACATAAACAAACATTTTTAAAAAGCAAATACATAAAACGGGACAGTAAAGCTCAGCTCACGGGGCTCGAGGTGACGATTAAATTCGATCATGTACATAAAGCCTGACTCGTGGCCCAGGGAAGGCGTGCCACAAATGCCAGCGCCTGTGTCCCCGCTCCACCCCTCTCCCCAGCCTAAGGCATAAAACCTCAGCTCTGCCGGTGCCCGTCTCCATTCGAGGGCCCGTACCCCTTCTGTCACGATGACAGGCGCCCTGTCGGTTCCGGGACGTGAGGGTTAACGGGAGAGGCAGGGCAGGAGACAACTCACTCTGTCTTCCCCAGTGGGGTTCCGGCCGGGCTGGCGCACTGCCGTGTCCCCAGCCCCGTGCACACGGCCTCCCACGCCTCTCCGCTGGCAGCCGGAGCCCCAGCAGCTGTGGCCGACTCTACCATCTGGATGGGCGAGGAAGGGCAGGGCCTGAGCTAGGAGCCAGCTCCCCCAAATTACATTAAAAATAGAGATGCTGCCTGTGAGTACCTGCCGGTGCCTGCAGCACGAGGCTGCCTGCCAGCACTGCCACTTTGCATCACGTCAGCCTGGCCAGAGCCTGCAGATAATGGCCCCGCCCCGCCCGTCCCTTCCAGCCTTCTTCCCCCACGGATCACACCGAGCTCGGCAGACGGCTCCCTCTGTCACTTGCAAGGAAAAAAAAAAAAAAATCACACAGGACACTCTACGGGACATGGACCCCAATGGGACATGGACAGCAAAGTGGGGTGATCGTGATAAAAATGGGGGGCTTGAGCCGTGGGTCGGAAAGAATGAGCTACCAAGTCTGTCTGCTTCCTACTTGTTTCATCTCTATTGCTGCCGGAAACACACGAGCCCCTCTGCCGGACAGAAGGGGCCACCTTGGGAAAGCGCCCGGACAGAGGGCCTTGGAGTAGAGCAGCAGTTGATCCCCAGACCCTTTTGCCCCAGAAAAGAACTCTTCAGAAAGGGGACACGGCCAGCACACCCGACACCTCTGGCCCAACTGTGCTCAAGACACCGCTTGCCCACCCTTAACTCGGCTCCAGGGTTTTGTGTTCATGACCTGGTCCCCAGCTAAATAAATCCCGGTACATTCAGAAAGCACACTGCTACACGACTAGTAAGGAGAGTGAGGGAGATCTGAAATTACTGAGAAATAAGTCAAGGGCCTATTCCCTAGCTGCTCTCTAAGTTAAAGAGCACATCGCCAAGCACTTTTTGTGACACAGTCCCAATGTCTGTGGGGAGGGAAAAGATAAACAGAAAACAGACACAGACTTACATGTACACTGAAACCTTTCTGGAAAGGCACACGAAAGTGTTCATAGAAACCGTTAATAGTCCCCACCTGTGGCAGTAAGCCTGCAGGAAGTGGAAGGCTTTGACCTTCTGGATTATTTGAAACAACTTCATGGTCACTTTTGTAATTTAGTATAAAACTCATGTTCCTAATTCATTATAATCATTATCTTGACTACGGTGATGGTTTGAAAGGCACACACATATGGTAAAACTTATCCAGTGGCACATGTGAAGTAAGTCCAGTTTATCATATGTCCACGGCATCTGGATAAAGCTGCGTCAGGGGCGCCTGGGGGGCTCAATCGGTTAAGCATCCAACTTCAACTGAGGTCATGATCTCGCAGTTCGTGAGTTTCAAGCCCTGCATTGGGCTCTGGGTTGACAGCTTGGAGCCTGGAGCCTGCTTCGGATTCTGTGTCTCCCTCTCTCTCTGTCCCTCCCCCACTCATGCTCTTTCTGTCTCAAAAACAAATAAACATTAAAAAAATTATAGGGGCACCTGGGTGGGTCAGTCAGTTAAGCATCTGACTTCAACTCAGGCCATGATCTCGCAGTTCATGAGTTCAAGCCCTGCGTCGGGCTCTGTGCTGACAGCTCAGAGCCTGGGGCCTGCTTCGGATCCTGTGTCTCCCTCTCTCTCTGCCCCTCCCCTTTTCATGCTCTGTCTGTCTCTCTCTCAAACATAAATAAACATTAAAAAAAAAAGCTGCATAAAAATTTTTATGAACTTTTCATGAAATTTTTAGAACTTCAGTTCAGTTCTAAGCCGCTGCCTTGGCCCTGGCCGGAGGAGCCGAAGACAAAGGGGACCACACCTGTGGTGCTGTCAGAGCCACAAAGGGCTGCCCCTGTCTCCTCAGCTCTACCTCCTGGCTCAACCCTCTGCATGGCCTGAAGACAGGAGACAGCTGGAGTAACTAAGGCCCACGAGGGGCTCTGTGTGGTCAGCCCACCTGAGTGCCTGGCGCTGCTCGGTGCCCCAACACCCTGGTCATGAGGTCCAGCTTAGGACTTCCTGTGCCGGGGCTGTCGGCCTCAGAGAGTGCCTCGTGAGAACCGGATCCAGGCCAGGCCCTGCTACTCCTACATGCCAACCGGCATATCCCAAAAAAGGGCTGCTGGCCTCATTGGGTCTTAGGCAGGACCTAGAAATCTTTCTTTTTTAAAGCCTCCAAGGATTCGGATATTGGCTAGAGTTTGGAGCCAGAGCTATGCAAATCCATCCTGCCCACCGACTTTCCCACTTACCTACTGCCAAAAGGGCCTACCAACTCCCTGCTCCCAACCCTTCCTCACTAATCCCGCCCTGTGTGTGCCTTTACACCCTTCGTCCAGTGCTACAAACAGGTGTGACCAAGGTCCGGCCTCGATCTGCTGGCTGGGCAGTAGCACGGCAAGGCTTACCAGCCAGAGCTGAGAGGAGCACGTGACCTCAAGTGCCACTGGCCTAAAAGCTCTACCCCGACTCAGCACTTAGTCCTCCAAGGGCTCCCAGACCTGATTCACATCGGACACCTTGTTTGTTCCACCCGGCAAACTTCCATTCACCCAAGCCAAATGCTCCCTTCAACCTACAGACACCATGTGCCAAAATCTTCTCTTAAACAAGCCCACGGAGGGGGAAAAAAAATGACTTTCTTGTCTTCAAGCTCCTTAAGGACAGGACGTGTGTCTGAGTCATCTATCTATTCCTACCCTTCTGTGGGGCAGACATTTCCCACGCCCACACAGAGCTTATATCCAGGAGGGAGACAGACCCAAGACCTGTCAACCAAAAGGAGCAGCACTAAGGGTAGCAAAAGGACAGAACAATTCACCCTGCCTGGAGGAGGTGGTGTCAGAGGTGGGCCTCCAAGACCAAGAAGGGGCTCGGAACAAAAGGGGAAACCAAACGGCAGGCAGGGCAGTGAAGGAGGTGGATCGTGTGCCCCGGGAACGGCGAGTGCTCGGTGGGCACGGCCGGTGTGTGGCGGGTGCTCTGAGGATGAGGCTGCAAGAGGCTGAGTGGGCCAGGTTGGCAAGTGCCTTGAAACACACAGTCTACACAGAGCTTTGCACATGAGCAAATGGGTCAACCTTTGACCAATTGGTCAAATTGGTCGTTGCTAAATAAACGAATGAACAGATAAATGTCTGTTGCAGGCGGCAGGGAGGATGACTCAATTCAGAGCAGCAAAGAGCAGAAACGATTGGGAGGCCTTCACAGACACAGCCCGGGCCATGCCTTACTGAGTTAGAAGCAAGGGGACTCCCAGAAACACAGCCCGGGACAAGCAGGGCTCAGCTCGGGTTACCCAGCATCCAGAGAGACTCCCCTCCCGGCGGACTGGGGAAAGCACGTCAACATCCATCAGGTGCTCTGAGATCCGGCTGCGAAAACCGAAGTCCTAGAGGGAGTGGAGGGGGAGGTCAGTGCTGCCCCTGTCACGGTCGGCATCGTCCATGTCACGGCCTCTCCTCCACCCCCCACCTTCCAGAAAGGGGCCCACTACGGGTCAGGCACCGCGCTAAAGGTTTTCACATCTACCGATTATTCTCATCTTCAAAATCACACTGTGACTAATCTGGAAAGACATGTGATACAGCAAGTATGGTAAAATGTTCACTGAAGACCCTAGGTGGTGAGTGTGTGTGTATTCACTCTAAAATCCTTTTACTTTTTCTGTATATTTGAAATTTTCCAGGGCACCTAGGTGGCTCAGTGGGTTAAGCGTCCAACTTCAGCTCAGGTCATGATCTCACAGTTCGTGGGTTTGAGCCCCGGGTTGGCCTCTGGGCTGACAGCTCAGAGCCTGGAACCTGCTTCGGATTCTGTGTCTCCCTCTCTCTCTCTGCTCCTCCCCCACCCACACAGTCTCTGTCTCTCAAATATTTAAAAAAAACTTTTTTTTTTTCCATAATAAAACCATGGAGGGAAAAATAACCGTGAGACTGACACCCTTATCTCCATCTCACAGATAAGGAAGCAGGTTTAGGGGACGTGTAATTCACCCAAGCCCAAGTAGCTGATAAACAACGGGGCTGGTTGGTGGTCAGATGTGCCCTGGGCTGACTCCAAAGTCCAAGCTCTTTGCCAATCATGTCACTTTCCAGTCGTCTCTCCCTCCTGGTGCCCAACCAGGGCACCAGTTGGGCACCAGGAGAGAGCCAACCAGGGTACCAGGAGAGAGGTCAAAGTGCCCACAAGACCTGTGGGCAGCACTGAAACGAGGCATGATGGCCGTTCTCAGCTTTCTCTTTCCCTTCCCCCACTGCCCTTCTGGACAATGGGGCTTAATTAGCAGTGCTCTGTCCACAGGCTTCTCTTTGGGACAGGCGGCAAGTACCCACACAGGTGCCAGCTCCCCGTCACCCTTTGGCTGCCACAGGACCCTGATCCTGCCCCCTCCAAGCCCAAGAGCCCTGCTGAACCCAGTGAAGGATTGCTACCTGACAGCACGCTAATAGGGACAGTTCTGTCATCAGCCCTGATACATGGCAGGATGCCCAGCCGAGGTCTGGTCCTGCTGTCCATGGCTTCCTCCACCCACTCCCATAGAGGAGAAAAACATTCATGGGCACATTTGTCCACACAGTGACTCCCTCAGAAGGGATGGAGCCCTGGCTTCCAAGAATCCTGAGACGTGCCTGTTCTTCACGATGGTTTTTGCCAACAACGACTTTCTGCCTTCCCTTCCTAGCTTAGGGGCTTTCTTTTTTGGTGACATTTTCCTTTCGGTTCGAGTTCTACTCCACTTAATGCAGCTGCCATCTGCCTCCTAAGCCCGTGGCTCAGCGAGGGGCTAGAGCACGCAGCCCCCTAATTCCTCTGCACCCCTCCTATCATTACCGCTCATCCCTGACCCTCTCCCGCTAATCCCTTCCCTTTGATCCGCCTCCTCCAAACAGATGGAGCACACTTTCCAGAGGTGATGCGCTGCCAAAAAGCACCCTCGACTACTCCCTGTAGGTACAGACCTGGCAGAGGGGGCCAGGATACAGCAGGCTGCGTGGAAGGCCCGGGACAAAGCAACCACGCCCGGTGACATTCCAGGACGACGTCTTCTCTTTGGAACAGTAATTGCAGCAGCCCTCCTAGCCTGAGGACCGGGCCGTGCCACTGCTCAGTGGTCCCACAAATACAAATACACACCCACACACACAACCAGTCTCTAACCTCCTAGATTCATGCAATGTCTCTGCTACAGCCCAGAGGCTCTAGATCACCTATCTCCCAGACAATTCCCACTGCAGAAACAAGAAACAGTAATAACAGCTTATAGTTATTTGATGTTTATAGGCTAACGTTTTACATTCTTTGCCTCACCTTCTTCTCATAGCAAACCTGTGAAGTAGGTAGCGTTTACTCTTAGCTAATGGGCTGAGAGACCAGAGTTAGACAAGATCCAGGTTTGAGTCCTGACTTCCCATCTACAAGCTGTGTGATGCCAGGCAAAACAAACCGCAGGGGCTCACAAAGCCACGGGCTTTACCCCACGCTGCTGCCCCACCCCCCTCAGACTCACCAGTTCCAGGAAGGACTTAGGGTCAGAGGCCGCGGAGTCTGACAGCTGCAGCTCCTTCACCTGCTCGCTGATCTCCAACTCCTGGGGAAACAGACCCATAGAGATGTCACCCAGAGCGGAGCAGAGAGGGCTGGGATCACTTCCCAGGGAATTCCGTTCAGGCCAAGGTGCCAACGCAGCTCGAGACCTAACCAAAACCCACCTCTTCCAGAAAACCTGAAAGGGGGCTGTGGACCCTCCCCTTCTTTCTGGACACACGCAGCAGTGCCCACCCCACTCAGGCTGAACAGCCCAGCCCAGCTATGTAGGGACAGCTACTCTCTGACTCGGGTCAACAAGGGTTTACACCTGGAAGGAAAGCCAAGTGAAGTGGAGAGGAGACGGTTGGAAAGCGGGCAGCAGGGAGGCTTCTTGCTGTCCTAGAAAACAGAACGGGACTGTCTTCTCCAAGAAGTAGCTTAACACCCTTTAAATGAACCCCCTCCCCATTTGGCTGGAAGAGGAGCAGGACTAAGGGTCGGACGACCGAAGATGCCTCAGGCACCGGGAACTACTTCCGTGTCACTGCCTGGTCTTGCCAAAGCAAGACCGCCGGGCCATCAACGACAGGAGCCTCTGGTAGCCCGACTGACCGATCCTGGGGCAAAATGCTCCCAATGGTTGCCACCCTCACCCATATCCTCCCCTCTCTACTGAAACACAGACAGCAGCGACCCTTGACTGGTGTCGAGAAGTACAAGGAGGAGGCAGAAAGAGCAAGTAGGTAGAACAGAAGAACACAAACGTCCCGGGAGGGTGCCAACGGAAAGGCCAATTTCTACCCTGAATTTCTAACGCCAGCAGGTTTGGAGTTTCATTCAGGATCTGGCTGCCTGCTGGGTCTGGGCAAATCTGTCACAATGAAGGGTTCTAGCCACGTTGACAGCCCGCTGCAGGGACTGCAAATGAAGCTCCCCATCTCAGTAATGAAGATGTGGGGATGGGGATCTGCACGGGGCTTAAGAGAGCAGCTCAGGGAAGGAGGGGCAACTTCCCAGGGGACAGGGGCTTTACCTCGCTGGCGTCCGATCTGCTCTCTTTCTGGACAGAGGCTTCCTCCTTGGGCTCCTCCTTCCGCCTCCTTCCTCCTTCGGCGCCTCCTTCCACCTCTCCCTTCCCGGAACCCTCCTCTCCTACATCCGCTGGGGCCTCTGGGGCTTCCTTTTTGTTGGCTTTGGCAGGCTGACTGCCCCCAGGGTCCACCCCACTCCTGGGTATTCCTGAATCACTCTTCTCGTCCTTTTCTTTCTCCAGGAGCCACGCACTCGCCCCTCTTCCCTGCTGCCCTGTGCCATCGGCACTGCTCAGACTGCTGTCTGCATCCTGGCTGAAGAGCTTGCCGGGAGTGGGGGGCCCGGCAGCCTCTGAATCCAGAGAAGCATCCTTCTTCTCCTCTGGCTGGCTTGTTCTTGGAGACTCCTGGGTGGCAGCAGACCATGTCAGACAAGGAGGCATCAGAATTAATCAAATGATTTCAGAGACTTGCAACAAGATGGAACTGTCATTCCTTGACCCGTACGGGCCAGCGCTCCCGTTATCAAACACCCTAACAGCTATTTAAAACAGAGATTCCCTGTTCCACTCCAGATCTACTGAATCTAAAAGTCTATGGTGATTTGCATACACCCAACCGGACCCGACGACTGACAGGCTCAGAAACCAGTGCACTGAACTCCATCACCAGCTATTATGTTCTCAAGGAAGAAATGCCTCGTCCCAGCCCCATTAGCCAAATCATAAGACTGCAGACTCAGAAGTCAATATTTATTTTTTAAAAAGTCAATATGTATTTATGGTGATGATGATGGAAAATCACATGGGAGAAAAAAAGTACCAAAGTGTACAATTCCGATGTGTTCATTTTTAAAAAGCAGCAGGGAAAAAAAACAGACCTTCCTCAATAGCAATGAGGGTGGCTCTCTTCCTAAAGCCTCCCCTGTACAAGCAAGTCTGGGGCACTGTCAACTGCACTCTCTGAGAAGCAGAAAGAAGCCAAGGTAAGATTTACCGGGGGAAGTGGCTATGAAGGATAAAGGGGTCGGGAGACCTTCAGAACACAGGTCTGACCTATGACGGGGAGAGTAGGACACGGGCCGGAATAGGCGTGGCCTCAGGAAGGGCCCAGTTCTGAGAAAGTCTTGGCCTGTGCAGCAGTCCCACATCTGGCAGAAAAGGTCCTGCTCTGGGGTCTGTTGCTCTCCATCAACAAGCATGGCCTTGGCATGAGCCAGGGTGGATCAAAGTGCTGTAGCTGGAGGCTGTCATTGCTGTGGTGCCCTTAGCAGGGTCTCTCAAAAGGAGCACCCTCTCCAGCTGCCACACCCTGTTTCTCACACGCAAACCTCACTTTAAAGACTAGGAAAAACCAGGACGCCTGGGTAACTCAGTCGGTTAAGCAACTGATTCAGCTCAGGTCATGATCTCACGGTTCGTGAGTTCGAGCCCCACATTGGGCTCTGTGCTGACAGCTCGGAGCCCGGAGCCTGCTTCGGATTCTGTGTCTCCCTTTCCCTCTGCTCCTCCCGTGCTCGCACTCTGCGTCTCGCTCTCTCTCAGAAATAAACAAACGTTAAAAAAAATATTTTTTCGGAAGACTAGAAAAAACCTTTCAAGCCAGCCAACATAGAAAAAGCAAATCCTTCCTTGAAATACAGAAAAGCCTTCCTCCCAGAAAACATCACTGGAATGCCAGGGTGAGTAACTTCTGAGCAGGGATTTTTGAGACTTCCCGTTTCCTCAACCTGGAAACTCAAACAAGGGACCTGACGACTAGAATTCAGTGGTCCCCGGAGAAGCCCTAAGCGCAGCATTCAGATGCTGTCTGTCTGTCAAAGCATCTACTGAACACAAAGACACAACCATCCGCCGGCAGGTCTAGCAGCCTAAGGACAAGTCAACCCAAACTTTCCAAGGATGACTGAGAGGCAGGAAAGCAGGGCGGTTCAGAGCTCAGCTTTGGAGACGGACTACTTAGGTTCAAATCCTGGCCCCACACTTACAGTGACCTTAGACAAATGATTTAACTTCCCTGTGCCTCAGTTTCTTCCTCTAAAATATGGAGACGCAAGAGGGCCTATCTCACTGGGTTTGGGGAATGTTAATTGAGTTAACACTAAGTGAGCTCAAGAACTGAGAACGGTGCCTGGAAGACTCTCGGTGTTCCATAAATGTTAAGTAATGTTTTACTGTGAGATGCACACAGTCATTCACACAGTGCTCCCAGACACTGCCCGGGGACCCACACATTAACAAGACATAGATCCTGCCCTCAAGGAATTCAGCTGAGAATGGAGAAAAGGGCAATGTCCCAGAGAGCCCTGGTTTTGAGCCTCTGCTGCCCAAAGCGAGGGACCGGGGACACAGTGGTGATACTGTCATCAGCCCCAGGCCCGTCCCAGGGAGAAAAGCAGAAGGTGAAAGGGAGGAGGGGGCGGCTTCCCTCAGGCCTGGGCAGGGCACCCTCTGGTGCTGCCCGTCCTCCCGACATCCGTAGCCTCGCCAAGGTCTCCGGGCTAAGAGAAAGGGCCAAGAGGAACAGCTCCCCTTCAAGAGAAACGCGTGCAGAGCGGGGCCAGGTCTCCCCCTCCCGATACCGCAACTGCGGCCGACACTCAGCAGGAGTTCGGTGCCCAGTCTGAGGGGCCTCCACGGACTCCCAGCAGGTGGGAGTTCCTGAGGATGAGAGAGGGGTGTCTGGCCAGCCACACTCTACCACAAGCAAGCAGAGCCAATCCACCCTGGCCGCGGTCATCTCGTGAAGAAAAAAAGGCAACAGGCCTCGGATTAGGGGACAAAGGAGGGTCAGACCACAGCAGCACCCGTGGCCTTCGGGATAAAGTCCGCATCTCCCCACATGGCCCACGGCTCTTCGCCCAGCCCCTGCCCGCTTCTCACAGGGCACAGGCAGCCACACCCTGCAGGCGTCCTCTCCTCCTATGGATAAACACTGTGCCACTTTCCTCTTTGCCATGCACCTTTTTTTTTTTTAAGTTGGTTACTTCACTTCATTTAGCAAACGGTCAACCCTCTGAGCCCCACCAAGTTGCTTCCCCTGCCTCCCTCGAGGGCCTGCCGCGGGAAGAAGCTCAAAGGGCAATCAGGACGGCCCCAATCAGCCTCCTCTTCCACCAACACCCTCTGCACAGCACAGGACAAGGTCACTGCTTGCATCCTCGGCACCCACCCCAATGTGGCTGGGGGGCCCCCCAGTGTTCAAGAGCCACCTGCCAGGGCCCAGCTCCAGGAAGACCCCTCCCTGCTCCTGAGATGCCATGCACATTCCACACACACACACACGCGCGCGCGCGCGCGCGATCTACCCTAACAAACTCCCTCTGGTCCTCACGGTATCACATCTTCCAGGAAGCCCTCCTTGATCCCTGGGGCAGCTGTCCTGAGATGAGCCTTTCCGTCCTGTCACAACATCTACCGTATCGTCACTGCTGACTTCCTATGGGTTTCCCTCACCAGATCAGCTCCGTGCTATCCTCAGGGCCTAGTATCTGGCACGTAATAAGTGCGCAGTGAATACCTGTTGACCGGATTTTTCAAAATGGGGGTGTCATGCAGATACAGGAGTTCCTACTCTGTAAAAGTCAGATGTACAATTTATTTTACAAGGTTACGCAGGGATTAGACTCTATTTAATACAGTGCTTATTAAACGGAAAATAGCTAAACAATGTTAACTATGAATATTCAAGATGATGGAAAAACAAGTAGCCTATCCAAAATCCGAGGACACCTGGCACAGACGGAGACTCCCATTTGTATACATGAGAGAATGTAGTCAGGCCGCAAGGCTGTGACGTCCAGTCTATGCCCTTCTCAAGCTCAAATTCTTCAAAAGACTTTCCCATCAAGGGGTATATGCTATCCTGTCTACCTAAACAGTAAGATACCGTTTTAGGGTTGCCTGGGTGGCTCAGTTGGTTAAGCATCCGACTTTGTGTTCAGGTCATGATCTCATGGTTTGTGGGTTTAAGCCCCACATTGGGCTTTGTGATGACAGCTCGGAGCCCGGAGCCTGCTTGGGATTCTGTGTCTTACTCTCTCTCTGCCCCTCCCCTGCTCACACACTGTCTGTCTGTCTCTCTCTCAAAAGTAAATAAACATTTAAAAACTTAAAAGATTTTTTTAAAGTTTATTTTTATGTATTTTTTAATGTTTATTTTTGAGAGAGAGAGACAGAAAGACAGAGTACGAGTGGGGGGAAGGGCAGAGAGAGAGGGAGATACAAAATCTGAATGAGGCTCCAGGCTCCAAGATGCCAGCAGAGTCCGACACAGGTCTTGAACCCACAGACCGAGAGATCATGACCTGAGCCAAAGTCAGATGCTTAACCAACTGAGCCACCCAGGGGTCCCTAACGTTTATTTATTTATTTTTGAGAGAGAGAGAGCACATGCACACACGCACATATGGGGGAGGGGGTGTGGGGGGAGGGGCAGAGAGAGAGGCAGAGAGAGAGAAAATTCCAAGCAGGCTCCACACTGCCAGTGCAGAGGCCCTGAATATTAAGATATTAAAACCTGGCTAATACTAAAATAAAGGAGCTCGCATCCCCTGAGCCCGTGTCAACCAAGTGCAGCAATTCAACAGTCAGAGGTAACGTCCAAGGGAGACTGGACACTGGTTGCAGATTACACGCAGTGCATGACAGAGTGCTGGGAAAATCCACCTGACTCCAGACCCCTCACCCTTCACAGCCCTGCTCGTCGCCACCCCGTGGGCCGAGACCTGCCCAGGACGCACATTCCAGGCCCCGGCGTACTGCCTCCCACATCGGGGTTCTGTGGGGTACACAGACCAGGGCGAGTGCTGCCCCCTCAGCATCGCTTTGCTCTGAGCTGATCTGTGCTCTGCCTCCTCCTGTCACAGCCCCAGGCCCCTGAGTATCTCAAGGCAAATATCTGCTGCCTTTTCAAAAACAACCTTGTCATCTGCATGAGGAAGGCAGTGCCAGAGATTTCATGAATATTTAACATACCCCCCAAAAGGCAGGGGCTACTATAATCCACATGGCTTGGGAGGGAGAGAGTGGGGGCCGGGGGAGCTGAACCTCCTAAGCCAACCATCAGTTAGGTTATTTGCCACGTCTCATTCCCACCCAGCTGGTCTCAAGTCTTCGCATTGTCCCCCACCCCATGTTGTTAGCACTTCCCAATCACACTGACATCATCCTGTTATTTCTAAGCCCAGCTCCCTCCCTCTCCTTTGATCCAATGATGGGTTCTTACCAGCCCCACGAGGCCACACGCTGCCTGCTCACCCACCCCTCTGCCTCCCCTCCTCACTCTCACCCATTCTCAGAGTCTGTTCCATGAACCTATCCCCTTTGATTCTGTAATAGACTAGAAATGGGTTTACACTGAAAGCAGGAGAGGAGGGGGAAGGAGAGAGAGAGAGAAGCAGACATTCTCGCCATCCTACTGCCCTCTCATGGAATCACGAGCAAAGTGACTGTTGATGGCACAGAGACAGGGGAGCACAAAGCTTGGCAGGACACTTCCACCCAGGGCTGTCTGGGGTGCTGCCCAAGAGCGGGAAGAAAGGGGCAGCTCAGAGGATCCAGGGTCTATAAACTGGGACAAACGCCATTTTCAAAGGGTGTGGTCCAAACAGAGGCAGCTTTGTCTCTCCTGAAACCCCTGTTCATCCTCAGCCCTGCCCTTCTTTCTCTGCCTGGAAAAGCCCTACCTCCTCCCAGGGTTAGACCACAGGAACCCAACACTCCATGTGACAAAAGAAGGAAATCTGCTGAGATGCTAGAGACACTTCCCCTGCTGAGTTGTCTATTTCTATTAAAGAGGTCATAAAAAATATGTTTAAAGGCTCCCACTCCCCCCAAAGGAGCATATAATCATCAGAAGGAAGCTTTTGGAAATCCAGGACATGTCAAAGATCCCCTTTTTGTTGACATTTAGGAAGCAAAAATCAGCCCAAAGTCTAAGTGCACCATGACGGATCCACAGTGGGATCTTCAATCCACCCGCTGACAGCAGGAGTATCCACTCTGGTCAGGACCTGGGACAGCCAAGGGAAGAAAAAAGCACCATACAACCTGAAGGGATCCCCTCCTTGTTCTGACAGGGCTCACTCTCATTCATTAACCTATTCATTCTCTCAACCACTCAGCAAAACATACCCACATGCTTCCTAGGTTCCAAGCAGTGGGCCAGAGCCGGCCATGTACACATGAATAGGGCAGAGTCTCTACTCCCAATGTGCTCAGTCTCCTGGAGACTTTCTTCTACTTCCTCCAAAAGCCAGTAGGTCCCCCTGATGCCCCTCTTCAGTTCATGGTCATCCTTCTAGGCTCCACACGTGAGCTACTGCTCACATCAGCAGTGTAAGGTCTTAGTGGCAGGCAAGAGGAAACAAAGTTGTCATTTCAGGGAATCAAACACACCGAGAAGGCTTTGGATGCAGTGCAAACAGACCAGGCCCCACTCACAGGGAACAGTTTCAAAGTAAACACAGATCAGGTTGATGATAAAGATGGGGGGTGGGCAGGAGGGAAGTGTCACATTTCACAGAAAGTGTTAAAGTCACCATCAAAACCTATCTGAGGGGCACTTGGGTGGTTCAGTCAGTTGAGCAACTGACTTCGGCTCAGGTCATGATCTAACAGCTGGGGTTTGAGCCCCACATCAGGCTTTGTGCTGACAGCCTGCTTTGGATCCTTTGTGTGTGTCTCTCTCTCTCTCTCTCTCTCTCTCTCTCTCTCAAAAATAAATCAAAAAAAATTTTTTAGGGGTGCCTGGGTAGCTCGGTTGCTTAAGCGTCCGACTTTGGCTCAGATCATGATCTCATGGTTTGTGAGTTCGAGCCCTGTGTCAGGCTCTGTGCTGACGGCTCGGAGCCTGGAGCCTGCTTTGGATTCTGTGTCTCCCTCTCTCTCTGCCCCTGTCCACTTGCACTCTGTCTCTGTTTCTCAAAAATAAACATTAAAAAAAAAATTTTTTTTTAAAAACCTATCTGTGCATAGCCAAAAATCTGGACAGTTTCTGGGGGTAATAGAGGACCAATAAAAACAGGGTCTGCCCAATGGCTAGAGCTGGACCACCCGGGGAAGGCCTCCCTACAACCCAGGGCCTGTCAGCCAGCATCTGCAATCTCCGCCCACCAAGACATTAACTCTGGTTCTTGAGGTGAGCTGAAGATCAAGAAGCAAGAGTCAGAAACAATAAGAGTTATGATAAAGGATGATGAGGACATAGTAAGAGATAATAAGAAAACAAACTTAAATCTATGATACAGGCACTGCTGCTTTACCGGTCAGCTTTGGGATCATTCTAGCAAAATGTGAGTGGTCAGTGTCTTAAAAGTGTTTCAAGTATGTCAAAGAGTTTTTGGTTTTTTTTTTTGTTTTTTGGGTTTTTTTTTTAACGTTTATTTATTTTTGAGACAGAGGGAGACAGAGTGCGAGTGGGGGAGGGGCAGAGAGAGAGGGAGACACAGAATCTGAAACAGGCTCCAGGCTCTGAGCTGTCTGCACAGAGCCCAACGTGGGGCTCGAACTCACGGACCGTGAGATCGTGACCTGAGCCGAAGTCGGATGCTTAACTGACTGAGCTACCCAGCCACCCGTTTTTACTTTTTTTTTTTTTTTTAATTAAAGTTCATTTCTGAGAGAGAGAGACAGAGCACGAGCAGGGGAGGGGCAGAGACAGAGGAAGACACAGAATCCGAAGCAGGCTCCAGGCCCTGAGCACAGAGCCTGACACAGGGCTCCAACCCATGAACTGTGAGATCATGACCTGAGTCGAAGTTGGACGCTTACCCGAATGAGCCACCCAGGCACCCCTGTCAAAGAGTTTTATATGTTAGACTTGTGAACAGCGTAATTCAGCCTGCTATCAGTATTTAAAAGTTTGGGGAAATCTGAGCTGTTGACTTGATCATTTACTGGCTGTGTGAATGCCTAGGGAATATGGGGAGAAATCCTAACTGTTTAAAAACTAATAAATATTAGTTATTAGACAAAGGGTATCCAGTAGGGAATGTTCCTTTTCAAGTAGAAAAACACAATGGGGGGTTGTAAGTATTACAACACCATGCTGAGTTTTGGGTTTTGTTTGTTTTAAAGAACATTCTGGTGGCAACAGAGGACAGACCAGGGGACAGAGATCAGAAGCGACAGGACTACTGTGGGGAGAGTCTGGAAGCTATTCCCGTCCACAGTCTGCATTTCCCAGGCCCCGCGCCTTTGCTCAAGCTGTTCACTTGCCTAAAATATCCCTTACACCCCCATGTCTAAAACCTACCTACTCTTCAAGAGCCAGGTTAAATGTCATCTATTCAAGTTTTTCCTGATCTCCAGACAAGTAACTTCTTCCCCCGCAGAGCTCCCCCCAAGCAGGCACCTGCACCCAAGCCCTTTGCACATACTGCCCTGCTTTACAGTTGCCTGGGACAGTCATTTACTCAACTCTGAGCACTCACTAAACACCAAGTACCAAGTGTTCTTTCTCTCTCCAGCTGCAAACTCCGCGAGGCCAGCCCAAACCCATCTTACCGACACCTGTATCTCCACCGGGCCCAGTACAGTGGCCGACATTCAACCACTGTCAAGACTCTGGACGAAACGCCTCTGTTACAAAACCTCTGCTGGCCCCCAGTGCCTGGGTAACCCCATTCAAACTCCCCAGGTGGCGTTCAGGTCCCCCGTGACCCAGCCCAAGCTACCTCCATGGGCCACCTCTTACGTGCGCTCTGTACGCCAGCCGAAAGAGACGCCTTCACCTTCCCCAAACTCACCCTGCACCCTCCGCCTGTGCAGTGTCCTGCGTGTGGGCTTCTCCCTCCCCACTCACCTCTGCCTGGCCAGCCTTGTGCGTCGTCCTCCCCCCGGCACACCTCACAGGTCAGTTTCCCAACAGAGCCTTTTCCTGGTTGATCCATGTGCCTTGGAGACCCTCAAGTCCCCTCTCACCTTCCTTACAGCCTCACTGCACGCTATTCTGTTTTCCAATAATTTAAGTCTCTCTTCTGTGAGGCTGTAAACCCTTAGAGGGCAGTAATTACATCTAACTTAGGCCTGCGTGACCTACGGCGCCCAGCAAAGTGCCTCATGCGGAAACATTCAACCAGTGGTGGTTACCTGACAAACGAGTGAACAGATTAATTCCTTTCCCCCTTTGTGCTTCCCCAAACCCCAGAAATCCCATCCAGACAGCTTTGGGGCAAGATGGTTCTCCTTCTAAATCCACATCCCACAAGGAGAAAGGCTTAAGAAGGAAGGAGGAGCATACCAGGCTGAGGCATTGTCTACAGGGCTTCAGGCTCTTACCTCATCCTCAAAATCACCCCCCAGCGCCCCAATGTCCAGGTGCAGGTTCTTAAGAAGCTCACTTGAGCTGCGGACACTCTGAAAACAAACACAATTACAGGGGGTAAGTCAAGGAAGCTGGTCAGCCCAGGATGCAGGCCAAGAAGCTCCTTGTTTGTTGCTTTCTGGGTCAGACCTAGGAGGTACATAGTTTGGGCAAGAAATGAAGCTGTGGGCTAGAAAACCACTTGACTTATTTTTAAAGCAGCAGAGGTCAGCCAAAAGGTGGAAACAACCCAAGCGTCTATCAACAGATGAATGGATTAACAAAATGTGGCACATTCAGACAACGAATTACCCAGCCATATGTGCTACATGACGATCCCTGAAAACATGCTATGTAAAAGACGGGCAGACATAAAGTGGCAAATATTGTATGATTCCACTTAAATGAGATACCCAGAATAGGCAAATTAAAGACAAAACATAGACGAGAGGAGACCGGACGCTGAGGAGTTACGGTTCAATGCGTAGAGAGTTGCAGTTCGGGATTTTGAGCGAGTCCTGGAGATGGAGAGTGGTGATGTATCACCCTGAATTGCACGCTTAAAAGCGATCACAATGGTAACTTTCATGTTATATATATTTGACCACAATAAAAAAAAAAACTTTTCTAAACAGGACAAAGGGTTCCCAGGCCAGGAAGAGGATTCATCATTACCTGGTTGTCACTCTCTGCCTCATCCTCCTCGTTGGTCTCCTCCCCTAAAGCCAAGAGGCTGAGGGCTTTCTTGTCCTCATGGATGGAGCCCAAGAGACCCTTTGTGTAAGCAGAAGTCTTGAGACCCTGTGGAGGCTCCAAAGCAGAGAAGAAAAGTCAAGGGACACACCAGAAAGACCTGCAGAATGCCTGCCCGACTCTCTTTCGGTTTGGTTGTCTCCCAGCACGAGTCTGCCACGGCCAGGAAGCCGACCCCGGCAAACCCAGCTCACACAGATCCCTCCTTTTTCCAACTCCTACCACCCCGGCTACCAGGATGGGAAAGTTAGCACTGCAGTCCCCATGGCGTGGGCCTGTCCTCTGCAGCCCAGAGTCCACGTTCAGCATCACACAAGTGTGATTTGCCCTCCCAACTTGATTATGAACCTTGAGGGCTCAGCCCATGCCCTCTCTTTATCATCCGTGGGCCACAGATCCTAGCATGACACACGAAGGCCCCACAGGAACTAAATACACTGAACACACACACAAAAAAACCATTTACCAGCGTGAGTTCTCCAAGCTGACCAGATTCCGCTGAGCTCCCCAGGCTCACGCTTTGTGATCCACGAAGAGCAGAGGCCGGGGCATCCACAAGGCCTCTTAAGGGAGCCAGGCCCCCAAGAGGGACGTGGACTGGGGCTAATGAGGAGCCCGGGGCCTGGGCAACACAAAAAATCTTGTTACAAACCCAAGAAACCATGTGGCCCTCGGAGTGTCAGAAGCAGATATAAAAATAAAACATCTAAATCCTGCCCGCTCGAATTTAAACCACCTCCGTTCAGAGGCTGCTAATGAAACACAACATCCAGAAATTACCATTGTGCCAACTGTGTGAGAAATCACAGGCTGGCTTGCTGATTCCCCTAACTTTGCTGCTAGTGCACAGCTAACGGTCGTCTCACATCTGGCAGATGCCGCGGAGGGTTCTGCTCCCCTTTCAGAAGCCACGTAGGAAGTGGGGGGGCAGAGGGAGGGCAGAGACAAAAGCCTCATCTACCAGAGGGAGAAGTCTCAATAGATGAAGTTTAAAACTGATGAACCAAGCAAAAGCAGTCGAAGCGTATTATTTACAAATATGGAAGTACGCACGAGAAGAGAGCAGTTGTCTCTGGGGAGGGGTATGTGCGCCCAGAGAACTGCTGGGTTTCGTTACCCACCTTTTGGTACTACTTGACTTTGTTTGATATGGGCATGTATTACTTTGATTAAAATAAACAGCAACTATGAAAAAAATACATTAATGGCAAAAGAAGAACTTTCTTGCCCTGCTCCACTGATGAGGAAGGTGGCTAAAAGGAGCCTGGCCCCCAGTTTCCCTGTTCTCATGCTGGCCAAACGAAGGCTTCGGGCTAACGAGGACAGGGAAAGAAACCAGGCTGGGAGTCAGAACTGGCAAGGCCTCAGCGCACTCACAGACTCCTGAATTCTCAATTTACTCATCTGCAAGATGGAGATGATGAGTGCCTTGCCGCTTAAAAAGCAAGGTGTGCTGGGAAGTTCAAAAGGGCTCATGAATGTGAGGAGCACATGTGAGGGGGCCGGGGCTACACCGATGTTGTGAAAGGGCTGTTATTAGAGGGACTCACATAGGACTCACGCAGCTGGAGCCCGGGCTTAGGAGAAGGGGCAAGGAGAGCATTCTGGGGACAACTTACAAAGACCTCTTTAAAATTCATTACTCAAACTTAAGACGCATCAAACAACACGAAACCATTCCTCTCTAACCCCAAGGAGACCAAGGTGAGAAAGGGGAGGCCAGAAGAGGTCAGGCTGAGGAAGCACAAGTGGCCCACCGTCTCTCATCCACAGCGTCGGCTCAAAGAGCCAGACCACCGGGCAGGGTCTCAGCGGGGCCCCTTTCTGTGTGGGAAGGGGATCGGACACTCCTCCGAAAGGGGGGTGAAGTCCCGAACCTTTGAACACCCGAACCATTGCCCAACCACCTGGCCTGCTGCAGAGTACTTCCGTTAGGCAGAGAAGGAACGCATAACGCTCAGGCTGGCCCACATAAGCCAGCATCAGGTACCGGGCTAAGCCCCTTCTGCGCCACCTCTCATTCTGCTCTCACAACAACCCGAGGTCACAGTCCCCACAAATGGAGATTGGGGAGATGGAGAGCCCTGCCCAAAGTCACAGGGCCAGCAAGGGGGGCGCAGATATGGGACTGAGCCCAGGGCTGTCTCTAAGCTGCTATTTTACGCCACCGTCTGGCTGTGGCAGGGAAGAGCCCAGAAAGGCTTCTCTAAGGTAAACTGGGGGCAAACTGGGCCCGCTCGTCCTGACTTCAGCCCTCCCAACCAGCCCCAGCAGATCAGCAACCAAAGTTCCTCCCACACTGTATTTATGGAAAAGTACAGACTCCCACCATGGCTAATTTGCTAACGTGCTGGGGGCTGGAGGGAGGGAGACAGGCATGCTGAGGGCTTTGTTCTCCCAGGCCTTTACCAAATCAGTGGTTAGCAGGGAAATTACACATTCCTGGCTCCTAGCTGATCATCTTCTATAGCTGGCCATTAACTCTGACTATGGGCTGTACGTGGCGTTGTCCTTCGGAGCGGATAAACTTGCTGCCGTTGGGCTAATTAAAACTTTCAGGATCATCTGCAGCTTATCCGATATTTATAGTGCTACAGTAGTTATTAAAGCTAACAGAGAACCAGGGCACGCCAGCAATTAGAAACCAGAGGGAACAACTGGGTAAAGCCACAGCTGGGCAACAGCAAAAGAATAGCTGGGGAAATTCAGAGCGACCCCTGTGGTCTCTGATCCAACTTGACTTCTTCTGAATGAAGAATATGGTGTGACTCTTTAAAGGGACAAAGGGGTCGGGATGATAGGGACAGCACCGTCCTTTGGCAAATCCCAGCAGCGGAGGAAGTGACGGTACCAACGAGGTCTGTACAAGCCTGACACAGGTTGTTCACATGGCTTCTGGGAGCCCTGGGAAGCCAGGAGCAACAGCAGCTCGCGGGATGGTACGGAGATGCTGGGTTTCAGCCCCTCATGACTGGATTCACACTCCAGTTCCGTGGGATTCCCACAAGGGACTAAATTCAGAGCTTAGGGGTGCGGTGTCCACTTGGGAAGCCTCTGTCCATAATCACCCGAAGAGAAAGTCTTCCCAAATCCTGGGAAGGTACGTAGATCCTGCGTGAGTGCCAAGATCAGGGCCACCTTACCCTCAAAACTGATCATCTGCAAAGCCTATGACCCATCTGTGAAATACAGTTAGCTCCAGGGAAGGGAAGTCTAGATACCCCGAGCCGCTGTCTCGCAGGTGATGGGTACAAGAAACATGAAATACACGTCACCCCACAAGATGGCCAGCCTGGGTAGTTCAGGGATCAGTAGTTACGAGGGGAGAGCAAATAACAGGAAAGCAGGCCTGATGGCCGGGTCAACCCAACCTGCTGCCTCCCTGCCAAGTTCACCGAGTTCAAGTCCAACGTCAACTCGACGGGCTCCCTCCCTGCCAAGTTCACTGAGGCCCACGGGCCATGCTTGCTAAGAAGCCTACCTGGTTGAGAAGCTGCGTCGTGCCTGACTCTGCAGCAAGCCCTCTGTTGGAACTCAGCTCGACTAGCCCCTGCCTGAGGGGGCTGCTGCTTGGCTGGAAACCGGCTTGCTGACGGGCCTCCTGCCCAGCAGGGGCAAGAGCCGCCTCCAGAGGACACGCCAGCACCTCCGGGCCACAAGTCAGAAAACTCGCGTCCCTCTCCATGGTTCTGATGGCCTCGTGCTCACCCTCACTAGATATCGTGGAAGACTCAGCTGCCATGCAACAGACCCTGCTGGCAATGTCTTTACGTGGCATCTCCTGCGTGCTCTCGGGCAGCCCCAGGCCCTCCAGCTGCCTGGAGATCTTGACCATATGCAGGATGTGCTGGTAGAACCTCTGATCCTCAAAGTAGTCTTCGCTCTCAGAACACTCATCAGTAGACCCCTGCATGGGGGACACCTGGAACGCTAGAAAGGGGCTGGAGTGCTGATCTCTCAGGCCGGGACCCGCCTGACCCATGCCCCGCCCAGATCCCTGAGAGCTCTGCAGGTCCCAAAGGAGGTTATGCACCTCACCCAGGATCTGAGAGCCAAGGTGAGAAGCCAGGCTGCTGCTCTCCAAGTCAGGCTCAGACCCACTAGGCTTCCTGTCTTCTTCGAGGGGGTCTGTTGACCCTGGGGGTTGTCTCTTCTCACTGGTAGGGTACCCTCCAGGGGAACTCCCTGAAGGGGCACTCTGGGCCGGCTCTAATGCCAGCCGATCAGGTGGCAATAGGAAGAGTTCCCGAGGTGGATCTTTAGCTGAGGCCCCTGGAGCCTCAGGGTCACTGGGTTCTGTCTCCTTGCAGCTGCCGGGGGTATCCTTGTCGACAAGCTTGGACACCTGTCCCATCCACAGTCCTGGGGGCTCTTTTCTCCTCCTCCCCCTGTCCCTACTCCCACCTTCTCCAGAGACTCCCTGCCAGCTCAGGCCTTCAGCTGGGCCATGATCTAACAAGAGCAGCGGGCTCTTCCTGGTAGGCAGCATGTGGTCAGAGGAACAGGGGGACCCGGAGGGCTCCTCCTCAGGGGATGGTGAGCGAACGGGGCTCTGGCTCTTGTCCCCACCGGGGCCAGTGGAGCCCCGTTTGGCCATGTGGCCCAAACCTCTGATGGTTTCAGAAAGCTCTGAGTGGACAGAGGCCTGGCACCTGCTCTCCAGCACATCCTGCCCATTCTGGAGGGGCCGGGTATTCTCAGGGCCCAGAGCACTGGGCTTCTGCTGTCTGGTCCTCAGTTCCAGATCTTCTATTTCAGGGTCTGAAAACCCCAGGTAGATTTTCTCTGTCGGCTTCTGGGGTTTCCCCAGACCCTGCTGATCACCCAATTCTGTTCTGCACTGGGCTCGGGCCCTGCCTAAGATTTTCTCCACGCCGGCAAAGATGTGGTGGGTTCGGGAAGCTTGGCCCTTGGAGAGTGGCTGAAGCTTGCTGGGCAGGGTGCCCATGAGAGGCGAGGGGATGTCACCCAGCATGCATGGGCTCTTCCCTTTCTTAAAGGAGCCCTCGCTTCTAGCCTGCATCTCTTGGTCTAGGTCCAGATCAGCAAGGCCAGGTGCTGGGAGAGGGGATGGGCCGCAGAGAAAGGAAGGAGGCGGCAGAAGTCCCTGCTCAGGCTGTGTCTCCTAGATGGGTATATAAACATGCAAGAAAAACTGAGACAGAGCACTTCTGACTTACACTTGCTACCTCAGCCCTCGGCAAGCCCTTAGCAGAAACCCACCCTCTAATTAAAGTAAAACACAAACCAGGAGGGGGAAAAGAAGCCAGAAACCCCCTCTGACTTCTTTGTTTTCTGGGCCCTAGTTTCCTTATCTATAAAGGGGAGGCTGGACCAGATCAGTGGCTTACAAACCTTGCTTCATGGAAACTGCAGGTTCGTTGCACATGGTGCCCTGGAGGCCACAAGAGTGTACATGTCACGGGGAACGGGCATCACTAAGACCTACACCCCCAGGTTCAGCTGGGGTAGCTCCACTTCTGGACATGCTGGACCTCCATAGAGGAATGATTGGAAGACAGGGCTTCACTACTAACAACTGTCAGAATCACCAACCAGATTATCTCTAAAGGATCATCAAGCTCTCAGTTCTGTGACTGGTTAAGTTTATAAAACCCACCAGCCTTACCAAGGACTACCAGAAATTGTCTAAGAAGGGAAAGAAGAAGGGAAACAGCCAAAGAGGGGAGCCCTGGGGATTCCGTCAAGGTCTTCTGGCAAAGACACGAACTGGCACTGCTTAAGAGAGGTCCACAAAGACAGAAAACCTTGAGTCTAGAAGAAACTCTGAACGATAAACCTCACCCTGCAAACACTCACAGTAGGCTCCAGCTGGCCTGTGCACGCATACCTCCGGAGAGCCCAAGCCACCTGTGCCCAGGTCACCCACCTGGCTCAGGCCTGCCCTCTGGACAAACCCAGGTCTGAGGCACTGTCCTGAGCCTGAGAGCCAGACTGGCAGCCCAGGACTTCCCAATCGTCCTCAGCTCCACAGAAGGAATCCTTTTTAACAGGGAGTTCCACGCGCTCAGTCACACACCCAGAACTCTGTCACCTGACCCTCCACCCCGGAACCCTTGCTTGGTCCCCTCTCTCACCGTTACTCATGCCAGAGCCTGCCCAGACACTAGGTAGTCCTGGGTTAGTGAAAAGCCCGTTATCCACCTTCTGCCTTTGAAACACATAACATCAGAAAATTCAACCGATTTGGAAATGACTTGTTCTCTTTATCTGGAGGGACGGGCTTGTTATCTTATTTCTTGGAATCATGAGTAGTGATAGGTGGGGGAGGGCAGGGGAGGGAAGAGTATCTGTGGAGCTTGGAAGTGTTGAAAAAGATTAATTCATCACCAACCATCCGATGCCAGACTTGACACCCTGAGAAGGAAGGAAGAAAGGGAGATGGAAATCTTCACTGAAACACAGGCACTGGTGGGAAACAGACTGCAGACAGAGAGCAAATCAACTGGACAAGTGAGAGGGTTGAAAAGATATTCTCATGCCCCCCACCTGGCTGGTCTGAGCTCCTACGTGCCTCCCTCTCCTCAACATGCCCCACCTGCGCCCCACCTTGGTGAAGGATCCCCTGCACCGGCAGAGCACTCTGGGAGAGCCTGGCCCTCACATCAGCATGGCTCCAAGTCTTAGCTTCTCTACCTATAAACCCAGGGCAATAACTCTGCTTCTTAAGTTCAGACATACTGGAAGGACAAATAAAAATAAGGGGAAAGAGCACTTTCAACTCAGAGTGAAAAAGCTACCTGAGACCAAGATGCTCACGCTGCAATCAGATTGCAGTTACGCACCCCTACCAAAGGACGATGGCAAAAAAGAACAATCCACAAAAGTGGATAAAGCCCAAAGCTTTTGTTTTTCGACTTTGAAGGCACTGGCTTTCTGACAACTGAATTATGGCTACACCTGACATCTATGAATTTGCACCACACTTGGAAGGCCTGGCTCTGAAAGAAGAAAGACACTCCACTCATCTAGGTTCTCTGTCAATTGCCCCCCTGTCCCCCACTCTCCAGAGGGGTAGACGGTATCCCTTCTCAGACTGCTGCAAAGCAACATCCTCAGGGAAGTGCGCTTTCTCGATAATCCTCCTACATAATATGTGCTTCCCAGGGGGAGGGGGGAGGAGAAAAGAATTTTCCAGAGACAATAAGAACTTCCAGAAGCTAAAGGAAAATCTGCCAGAAGACAGGCATAACTGAGATGATGTAGTATCAAGCAATCAATGTGTTATTGGTGTTGTTCTGAACTTCCCAGCTGTAAACACCTAGGGGTTCCCAATATCCCCTGAGGTTTCAGCCCCGGCTCTCTGGGGGCTGGCATCCATGGACTCACCAGCAGACTTTTGGAGGTCTCTTTATCCTTCTTGTCTTTCTTTTCCTTCTTCTTTTTCTTGTCTTTCTTGTTAACGGCTCCTGGAGCTGACAGCTTCCTCCGCTCTTGGATCACCAAGTTCCGATAGTGCTCGTCACAGGGATGGTCCCACGTGGACTGCCCATTGGCAAAGTTGAAATAGTAAATATCACCTGTGATGTCCTGGCTGTAGAGAGTGGAGGTCAGAAGTGAGTCCCTGCTCAGGTCCAAAGCTACTTAGGAAAAAAAGGAAGAGAATAAAAGTGGCCAGGAGACAGAAAAGAAGGAAGAACTGGGTGAGAGGGACAGAAGGAGAGAGAAGACACGGGGGACGCAGGAGAGGATTAACACAGAAGGAAAGGGTACCTTCTGGCTAATATAGGAGTTAACTTAGATAGGAACAAAGGACTGGGATAGCTAAGGACTTCTCTAGAAGAAAATGTACAATCATTGGGGTTCCTAGGAATAAACTTGGTTTGAGATGGATAAGTACAGATGCTATGGGATCTTAAAGATAAATTCTAGGATTGACCTTCCTTAATATTTTCATAAATGGTCCAAGGAAGAAAGAGGCATTGTGATAGCTCTGGTCTTACACAAGACTCCGATCTCCTAAGAAATAACGATCCAAGCCAGTGGAGATCAACAAAAGAAACTAATGTAAAGGTGCATTTCATGAACCTGTCTTTCAACATGGACAAGTCCAAAATAAGCCATGCATTCCAGCCACCATTATCAAAAATTCATTGGGACAGCTACAGAAAACAAACAAACAAAATTCACCATAGCAATACAAAAAAACACGATACCCAGGAATAAATCCAACGTGTACAAAATCTTTATAAAGCTTCACTGAAAAGTCAGGAAAAAGAAAAAAAGAAAAAGCTGTTGGAGAGACAGCCCATGTTCCTCAATAGAAAGACTCAAGTCTGGCAGCACCTGGTTGGCTCAGTCAGTGGAACATGCAACTCTTGATCTTGGGGTCGTGAGTTCAAGCTCAATCTCAATTCTAATAAAAGAGAAAACATGCAGAAGTAAGCAGGAAAAATATTAGGGATGAAAGACAGAAAGATAATAAATGACAGATAAGTGCATGAGAAGATGCCCAGTATCACTAAACATCAGGGAAAGTGAAATTTACAACCACAGGGAGATATCACTTCCCACCCACTAGCACGGCTATTACCAAACAAGCAGAAATAACAAGTGCTGGGGAGGATGTGGGGAAATTGGACATCTCAAGCACTGTCGGTGGGGATGGAAAAGGGTGTGGCCGCTGTGAGAAACACTAGTTTCCTAAAAATTAAAAACAGAGAGACCATACAGCACAGCAATTCCACCGCTGGATATATACCAAAAAGGAAAGCAGGGATTCAAGCAGATTATTTGTCCACCCATGTTCACAGCAGCATTACTCATAAAAGTCAAAGGGTGCAAACAGCCCAAATGTCCATTGACAAATTAATGAATAAACAAAAGGTAGTACATACATACACTAGAACTGTATTCAGTCTTGGCAACGAATGAACTACTGACACCTGCTACAACATGAATGAAACTCGCAGACATTATATCAAGTAAAATAAGCCACACACAAAAGGCTGAATATCATGGGCCCACTGATTTGACCTTGAATAGGTTAATTAACAGAGATGGAAAGTAGATTCGATGTTACCAGGAGCTGGGGGGGACGGGCAGAATGGAGACAGACTTTCTGTTTGGGAAGATGAAAAAGTTCTGGAAATGGGTGGTGGTGATGCTTGCACAACACTGTGAATTTACTTCACGCCACTGAGCTGTATATCTAAAACTGGCTGAAACGGTACATTTTACATTATGTATGTTTCACCTGGGAAAAAAAAGTACAAAAAAATGTATAATTTCAGTGTGAAAAAAGAAAGCGCAAAGAAAATTAAAAGACAGGAGGTGGGGAGAAAATAGTAGAAACAGTAGTATAAGATTAATACACAGAAAAATCTGGCACAAGAACAGACACTCAGATCAATGGAACAGAATAGAGAACCCGGAAAGGGACCCACAAATGTATGACCAACTAATCTTTGACAAAGCAGGAAAGAATATCCAATGTAATAAAGACAGCCTCTTCAGCAAGTGGTGCTGGGAAAACTGGACAGCGACATGCAGAGAAATGAACCCGGACCACTT